ACCGTGTTTTTCAAAGTGAAAGTCTCTACTGGCAACAATGAAAAAGTGACGTCAGTGGAAGGCAGGAGTTCATACTTTCGACTGTGGAATTTGTTCCCAACAGATTCGAAGCAGTTTCATGGTGTCAAATGAATGCTTTGGAAGCTCCCTCCAGCACTCGAATAACAGCACGGAACAAATGATTGGCATATTCTATTTTTAGGCTGCTTGCTCGACTGGCAAGCCTGCCTGCCACTGGCGTCGCGGCACTGAAAAGTGTGGGTATATTTAAATGTTGGTTTTCGCATAATTTTCATTTGCCAACTTCACAATAACTATTATGAATTTCGCGATAGTAAATAGCCTACCGAAAAAGGTAAAGGCCGTGGAGTCAGAACATATAGTTTGTTGAGGTAGTTTGAAAAACCTGTGGAGTATCCCTTTAATACAAGCATGTCTAGCTTTGGAGAATTTCTTTTTATGCAAAGGGTGATTTTATTTTATGAGCAGTTGCAATTAAAAGAAACCAATAGTAATCACTGAAAAAGTTAATAACTTAATTTTTTGTACTGTCTTAACTGAAATAACCAATCGGCGGTGCCCTTAATTCATTCCTTAGCCATCACCATCCAATCCGAAGCCAACTGGCCAGCCTGTCGCGCATGCGCACACGAGTCGAACCTCAATACAAGGTTCGTCGAACATTCCACTAAAAGGTCGAAAAAGTCGAACCTGGTCGAACTCGACCTCGGCCGGTTCGCGACACCCCTAGAAGCCTATGTCATGAAGAATAGAAGGGTAGGAGAGGGCATGACGTCAGCCGCGTAGCCTCCACAAGCCGTGCTCCCTTGACGCCTCGCCTCTCTCATTTTCCTCCTACACTCCTCACTTATCAGCCCAACATGACCACATCACGTGACCGTTGCTAGCCTTCGTCTAGCTTTCGATCTGATAAAACCTACCGGACGGAGCGCGCGCAAGCCTGCAAGGAATCCTCCTGCAATCAACCATCCATCTCGCACGTGACCTGTCACGCGCACAAATCGCCAGAGAGATCTGCAGTCACGCTGGGAACAATATCGTTTAAATTTTTGTGACTACAGGCTTCACCAATATTGCAACGTGCCCCCTCCTTCTACTTCTAATCTCCTTGAGCTTAGTCATAACAAGTTTAAACGACGTTGTGGCCAACATGACCGTAGATCTCTCTGGCAATTGGTGCGCGTGACATGTCATGTGTGGGATGGATGGTTGATTGTAAAAAGATTCCTTGCAGGCTTGCGCGCGCTCCTACCGGTAGGTTTTATCAGATCAAAAGCTAGACGAAGGCTAGCTACGGTCACGTGATATGGTCACGTTGGCCTGATAAGTGAGGAGAGTAAGGAGGAAAATGAGAAAGAGGCGAGGCGTCCAGGGAGCATGGCTTGTGGAGGCTACGCGGCGGACGTCATGCCCTCTCCTACCCTTCTACCCTCCTTGTAGCTCCACAGCACCGTCAGCTTAGGGGTGAACGGGCTGGGAAATTCAACTTTTGTTAAAATTATGAGCGACTGGCTAGTCTTCTAGGGGGATAACGTCTGTATCTGGGTGCACAAACGAAAGTCCGGGAAAGAGGGGAGTCCCTCCTTTCTGTCTTCTTGGACTGTTTGGTTCAATCTAGTAAAGTATTTGGTTCAATGCGCGATTTATGAGTTGAGAAGGAAGGCTAAGAAGAAAATGTTGAAGTTCCAAAGAGCGGCGCTGCTCCAATGGAACTTGTTACGTCATGACCACGTAGCAAGTTCCCCAACGTTGCTAGGTTGCCTCCCGAATAGGCTCCGCATTTTGCGAAATTTTTTAGAGCGCAGCTCTTGGGCGCCCATTTCCGGCTTGAGCGGCGTCGCCGTCGCCGTCGGCGTAATCGCGCGGTGCATTATGGGTAAATTTTCCCCAAATACCCGAGGTCCTCGGGTTCCTTCGGGAGGACCTCAGGAGGACCCCGGATTCCTTAGGGAGGACCTCGGCAGGACCTCGGGTTCCTTCGGGAGGACCTCTGGAAAACCTCCGGGTTCCTTCGGGAGGACATCGGGAAAATCTCGGGTTCCTTCGGGAGGACCTAGGGAGCATCTCGGGAGGACCTCGTGTACCTTCGTTGACCTCGGGGAGGGGGGGTCACGTGACCCCCCCCCCCCCGAGGTCACGTGACCCCCCTCCCTCCCCCCCCCCCCCCCCCCCCCGAGGTCAGGTGACCCCCCCCCGGAGGAAATTGAAGAATGAGGGGAGGAGGAGGAGAGGGAGGGGGTATACCCTCCCCTTAGTACCCTTCCCTTCTCCTCCTCAAGAGCTGCGCTCTATTTCGGCCTTACAGGCAGTTGTAAACGGCTTTCACTTTTTTTTTACACCGGCAATTATCAGTAGTTTATTTTAGCGGGTACATTTTACAGCGTATGTATATCGCCATGTGTCCGTCGCTGTGTGTCAATAGGGAGTTTTCGTAGACCGTGCTGCCCCCTCCGCTAAGCGTTCCGCAACGAAGAAGTTGCTACTGCGCCTGCGCGCCGATAGCCTTGACTGTGGAGTTCGTGCTATCGTAGCGGGTTGCGGAGGGTCTTGCGGGACGGTGAAAACGATCTACGAAAACTCCCTATTTTCAATCACCGTGTAAGCGTAGCCGTGTGTTCCTCGCCGGTACCTCGGCTCATGCGCACGCGAGCACAAAACTGAAAAACAAAATGCTCGTGCCAGTTGCGAAGTTGGGGGGGTAGAACCCAGGCCCCTGTGCCTCTGAAGCAGTAATCCACGTAAACAGCGTCTCGGTAAGAATCATGGCCCGGGGGGGGGGGGGGGGGGGGGGGGGGGGGGGGCAATGCCCATTTGTAGTCTACGCCTATGCCCCATATTATGGGTCACTCAGAAGCCTATAAGACGACACAGAGACGACAGATTGAGGTGCGCCCCTCTGGGCAAAACAGTGTTCGTTTGGTGCTGAAGCCTCTCGCCCAGCATGGCACGCAGTCTTTACCGTTCAGTAAGCTTTAGGAGTTTTAGTAGACCGTGTTTCCCCCTCCGCTAGCCATCCGCTACGAAGAAATCGCCACTGCGCCTGCGCGCCGATGTCCTTAGCTGTAGAGTTCAGGGTAGCGGAGGGGCTTAGCGGAGCGGGAAACACGGTCTACTAAAACTTGGTTCACCGGGGGGTGACATGTTTTTTAGCGGCATTTTTGATAGATAAAAAGTTCGAGGCAAGGGTTAGGGCATAAAATAGCACGAAAGGAGAAGAGAGCCTCCGAAAAGGCAACCCATTTTGGTTCGGAACATCCCAAAACTTTCGGGAGATTCATCTTTCCGTCGTCGACGCAGAATGCTGGCACTTTTGTTTCTTTTCCGTTTTACGTTCAAGTTCTATTTTTATTTTTTTTTTCTGGCAGTATTTCCTTGTTATTTCTCGCGCATAATTCCTTTTTTCCTCTCTTTTTTCGACTCGAAAAAACAAAACAAAAAACATTTGACACCTATGTTTTTTATACCATCGCGTGAAGAAAGACGACAAGGTACCGCAAGGCGCAGAGATCCACGCGCCGCGCGCAAAGCTCGTTTCCCGCTTCGATCGGCAGCAGCTGCCTTCTCGTAAGTACCACCCAGATAGATCTCGGCAAAAGTCCAGCAGCCCTCCAGCCGACGTCGGCACCGATCCCAACCACGCGTCCCCCAGGCAAGCTGCGCCAGCCAGCCCCGAGGCTGGCTGCCGCCGCTCAGGAGCATGATCGCAAGCTGCTCTTTTTTGCCGGCGGGGCCATCCTCGTCATCGCGCTGGCAACGTCCTTCGCGACCATCACCATCATGCGGGGTGTCACGCGGCCCAGCGGCGCCCGGCCGTACCGCGTGCAGAAACACCAGTCCAAGGCGTCCGATCTGAGACCAGTCCGACAGTACAACCCTTACGAAGGTCCACCACCTCTGTTTGACCCCAGCAACAACGGCAAGAAAATGGCAGCGGCAAAGGTCGAGCCACCAGCAGACGACAAGGCACTCAAGGTGGTGACAAGAAAAAAGTCGGCTAAGCGTGTTTTGTCTACCAAGAGGCGACGGACGACAGCTAAGAAACGCCGCAAGGTGACGCGTAAACACAAGAAGTCCACTTCGGCTAAGAAAACTACAGCAGGATATGACGAAGAATGATTCCTGCCTGGTTCGGCGAGAGAAAGAAGGCTGCTGCTTCTCGCTGAAGGAAGGTTTCAAATGTAAACACTTGGAAATGGTTCCCAGAGCTTTTTCTTTTCCCTTTATTTCTTTTATATATAATTTTTTTTCGTATCACAGTGACTTTTTAAAAGCGTGTCGCGAACTAGTCCCTGTGCTAAAAAAGATCCTGCTATGAAGACGAGTGTTCGTGTTCTTGAGAGCCTTTAGTAGAACCCAACAGTCTACGTAGTTTTCCCTCTCATTACAACCGCTGTGGCATGGCACGCGCTTTATGGCTGTCGAGAGTGTCGCTTTCTTTGTGGAGAGAGCCAATAAAATTCTGATACCCACCTGGCAGACATGCTATAACGACCATAGAATATTTTACCAAACGGGACGACATGACTTTTGATAATTTTTGGATTTATCGCAGATTCGCTAAATAATAGTATCGAGTGATTCGCCGTTACAATTCTTTGCATCCATTCCCCGGCGACAAAGAACTGCATTGCGTGATGACTCTATCGACTGCTCAATCCGACGAGGGAGGCTCAATGGCTCAATCGAAGTATTTCCGAAGGTGCCCTCCCCAAGAAAACAAGAAGCTTTGTTCGATCCCGTAACTGCGCGGCCTTGGACGTGTACAATGCGCGCTCTCATCCGTAACGCCGGAAAAACAGCGCGCAAACCGGCTGCGATGACGCCACAGCGCCGCACCGCCGCGTTTCGCCGAATTCAGCGGCGCTCCAGTTTATTGCTTCCCTGACGCGGCCACCATGGGCTGCTCCAAAAAATTCCTCCAGGTGGCTACCGTCGCGCAACCAAAAAGAAAAAAAAGAAAAAAAAAAAGATTTTGGACAAGCAACGGTGAGCAGCGTGAGCAGGCAGCATTTGCAGCTGAAAGCCAGCTGTGTTGTGTTTCGCGAGAACGCTATGTAGCCGCTTGGCTCTCGAGGGCCGTATGGTTTTGATTCTAAAGCTTCGATCTGTGCCCAAGCTGCCGCCAAAGCGTTCAACCCGAAGCCATGGCGTCGGTGAAGGTTGCCGTTCGCGCCAGACCCTTCAACCAAAGGTGAGCGTGTTTGCCGCTCTCTCAACCTGCCAAACACGGGTCTGAGTCATCGCGCTGGTAGATACATGACGGACGTTTTGGTGTCGGTGCCTATTCTTCAGTCTTTTTTGTTTATTTTTACCTCTATTATTTCTTGTTCGGTCCCTCTCGAGAAAACGCCGACGAAAACGAGCTCAGAACGTCGCTTAACACACTTCTTTTTTCTCTGCGAAGCATCGGGTGCTTTAACGATGTTGTCCCAGATTTTTTCTTCGCTCGACTCACTGTTCGTGCTCACCGTGTGGGATGTTTGGGTATTTTTGGGCATTTCATGGAAAGAGGGGCTACCTGTGTGCGCTGTGTAAACAACCGCTTCAGTGGAAGCTAGCTGCCGATTGCGGGGGAAAGCTTGACGCCTCACTGCGTTCCTCGCCTTGAAGCTCGGCACTGCGTTGCAGCTTTGGGCTTCGCCTTTCTCTTTCTCAACTTTTTCCCATTCGTTTTGTGTTTTCTTCCTTTGGAGCGCGCACGGCTCGATGAGTTTGCGCAAGGCGCCGTGAACAAAGCAGGCTCCCGTTCAGAGCACCGACACGCTTAAACTGGAAGGAGCAAACACGGCAAATAACAGCCGATAGTGCGGTGCGTCTCATCTGCAGAACCGATCAATCAAGGTTTTTCAGGTGGCTGATCCAAGCAGAAAATGAGTGGGACACCCGAACCAGGATTGACACATTAAGAGGCAGCCTGCGTTATACTGTTAGATTTGTGCAAAGTTAAATCAATCTCGCAGCATTTTCTTTTTATTATAATTATTTTTTTACGTTTGTAAGAAGCGTTTCGGCTTCACTGACTTCTTCAATTACTTTTTTACAGCCGGAAAATCAGTAAATCAGTGACCTCGGTGGAACATTTGCACTGATGTAGCGAACCGAAACAAAGACATAAAATCACATTAAAGCACTCGGCGAGTGTAGTGAATGTAGTTGGGACGGGCTGGCGAACGATCACGCAGACTTTTAGCAAGCTGATGTTCACTGCTCTTTGACTTCAGGGAGATCAACATGGAAAGCGGCGAAATCATTCAGATGGATGGGAACAAGACAACCATCTTAAACTTGAAGGTATGTCGACTTACTTTGCAGTGGTGTTTATTTCTTGTCAGGCTCAATCATCATGCTCCGCTTCATTCACAATTCAGCATATGACCTGCTCATCTGCTTAGGATAAAGATTGCTATTGCAGATATCCTGTGTTCATGGTTGCAATATTCAAAAGGAGTTTTAACTCGTGGATAATTTTATGCACTAACAGTTCCAGAGCCTTATTTCGTCACCGAACATAGTGAGTACACCAAGAAATAAATGTTCTGTCAAATCACTTTGTGTCCTCGTCCCCTCCACCCACACACATCTGTCCATTGTCTGGTGTTTCCATCACTTGCATGGATGGACATTTTTCACATTGAATTCGACTGCCACAGAGTCCATCGTCCGGTCTTGCTGTCAAACTTGTATGGACAGTCATAAATTCAGTTGCCGCAAAGCATGATGCGTTGTAAAGCCTCATCTTCACTTGAGTGACATGCACCAAGCACCGTTCACAAGCATGCCCAATGTTAGCAACTTTGTTTTTACACCTGAGCATTGCCAAGAAGCTTCAAAGAGAGTAGTGCCATCTTTTCCGGACTATAGTCCGCGCAACGTGCCTAATTCGAACATAAAAATTTTCATAAACGGCACACCTTGACAAATACCTGCTGTATTAGCTCACAAAGATGCTTGTATCATTAATATACTCTGTTCACAAATTTCTTCACGTCCTGTCACAGTGAGCAATTTAGAAAAAAACAAATCCTTGTATAGTCCGCACCTGTAAATAGTGATCAAAAAAACTGCTCCGACTTTACTCAACAAGATTAACAATTTAATCAAACGTTTCGTCTCCCATCCGGGAAACATCGTCAGTGAAACCTACAAGCAGGAATGAGGGAAAAAACTTCAACAGTCCTATTTAAGCAAGTCCGCGTACACATCGGGGAGGGGGCCGCGGTTGGAATTGCAAGCTGATGAGTCATCTCGGATGAACCATGATTCCACGAACCTGCGTGGACCCCACCTTTGTTCCCGTGCCAGAGTGGACGCATTCTCAAAGTCGAAACAGTGACCCGTAGTCCAACAATGGTCTACGAGTTCCGTCTTCGCTCTTGTCGCATGTGTGGCCTTCGCCACGTCCCTTTTGTGTTCGTTTAAGCGAGTGCAGCGCTTCCGGCCTGTCTCTCCAATGTAGGATGCAAGTTGCAATTCCAACCGCGGCCCCCTCCCCGATGTGTACGCGGACTTGCTTAAATAGGACTGTTGAAGTTTTTTCCCTCATTCCTGCTTGTAGGTTTCACTGACGATGTTTCCCGGATGGGAGACGAAACGTTTGATTAAATTGTTAATCTTGTTGAGTAAAGTCGGAGCAGTTTTTTTGAACATTATGATTCCCGGCTTTTGGAATATTTTTGCACCTGTAAATAGTTCATATCGGGTGAAATTTCACTTTTTGAATGTGCATAGTTCGCAAACTATAGTCCGGAAAATACGGTAGTTCTCCTGGTAGACATTTACTCAAAAATCTGTTGTATTTCTTTTCAATAACTCCCAGACATGACTGAACAGTTGCAATGTTGAATTCCATAGTCGTTCTGGAGCACTCCAGAATCACTAGACCTGGTCCGAGATGGAGCACACAATCCGAATGGAGTTGCTCGACCTCCAGATCCCCAGTGGAACATGGCCACCCCTTTGGGATCGACGGATGCTTTCCCGTCATTCACCTTCCCACGGTCTCGGCAACATGCCCGGCGAGAAAGCAAGCGATTTTTGCGTGCCAAGGGCGGGCTTCCGGTTGAATCTACCGAAATTAGCAAAGCAATCTTTCTCGGATTTGGATTGATATCTGGAGTAGGAGCTGATACAAAACAACAAGTCAAACATGTCTGTCTCAATCCTAATTGTCCAGTGAAATAGGCGCTCTCCAAAACGGCCAGTGGAATTCGCCATAAGGATGAAAGTTCCTTCTTTCGAAATGCAGGTATTGGTTACAGTAGAGTTCCATATAGTGTTACATATCAAAACACTACTCCTGAACCGTTTTGTTTAAAATAGGGGAAAATCGAAGAACCCCAAGTTGGAACTGTCCTTAAATGAAAAAAAAAAAAAAAAAAAAATAGGCTTCACAGAACGAAATCTTTAACTAGTACATCTTTGTCTTGTGTTGTCTTTGTAATACAGCCCCCACAGAACTGTTTGTGAGGCTGCTTTGAGAATGCACCCCTTATCTCATTCCATCCTTTTATTTCTAATGGGATGATTTCTTTGCACTGTATACAACTTTATTTTCACGTGCTCAATATTTTGCAAAGTTTAGGAAGTGTTAGTTTTGAGAATATTTAGTGATTTGCAGCGATATGCTATGTATTTGTTACCGCGGGGCTATAGGCTCATGAGGCAAATTTTTTTTTATAGTGTTTGGGTTGCTTAATTTGCGAAAACTAGGTCCTGAGTAAGATTAAGTCTTTTTCAGCATTCAATTTACGTCCATGTTTCCCGGAGGTTCGGAAATCCTATTTCCTCATCCCGTTTTGCTTAGCAAAAAATCGGATAAACCCCGATTTTTTGTTCGAAATCAAACATTTACACTAAAAATCACCGAATTAGTGGGAAAAAGTAAACTCCCTCCAAGAACCGCCCCCTAGAAACACGAAACTCCAGTTACAGGCAAACTTCTGCATAGCAAATTCAGCACAGTTTCTTGCATTTGCTATGAAAGCAATTTTCCCAGGATGCAGATGAAGAGATGCGTCTGGCCTTTTTGCTATCTTCCCCTTGCTATTTTCTTACAGCTATAGATAAGCCCCGTCTCAAGGATAGATAGCAAATGGCACATTTAGGGCGGAAGTCTTGAAGTCTCCTAGTATGTTGTGTACTGAGCCAAGGTTTTATGACTGAAGCCTTTTTATCTGATAGTATATACCTGCAGTTCTCAGTCACTCACTGTTTTGGGAACCTTTTCTGGACCCGCCATAACGCTGAGAATAAAGGTTTACACGCAGCATGCGCTCGCCTTTTCCCGTATAAAAGATTCCAAGTAAATAACCCAAATAAGGCGTTGATGAACGCACATGTAGGATGGCATTTGTTTTAGGTTCTTGCTTTAGAACAGTTAGTGCTGTGAACGCTAGCATGTGCAGAACATGTAACTACACTCGCAGCAGGTTCTTTGATCCTTGGATAATTTAGAAAAAAAGGTCTATTACGAAGGGGTATATGAAGCAAACTAAATGTGTACAAACCAACTTTAAAGCTTTAAAACAGAATAATCAGCCCTACTAACTTGGCACGCATGGTTTGGTCTATTTAGCTTTGTAGGACAGCCAGCATCAATAAGAAAAGCAAAAAAAAAATGCTTTTTTTGCTCGGCTTGATTAAGAGTTGAGGGTTTTGGGGACCCCAAGAAGGCCTTCAGGAACCCCTAAGGGTTGGTGGACCTCCATTTGAGAACCGCTGGTGCATACAGTTTCTACCTACATTCTAGGCGTGCCTGTGTATTACTGGTAAATGCAACTAAATTCTATTTTGTTACAGTTTGTGCTTGTTAGGACGAGCATACCAGGAACATTCTGTTTTTTTTATTTTTTGCGATTTATTTAAGGTTAGTTTTTTGAAACCGGAATTAACCCGGCTTTGATATGGTAATTTATTGGAACACTATGGTGGTTTGGGGATTGTCTTTTTAAGGTGTAATTTCACACTATGTGCTCTAAGCATTCTAGAAAACCTGAAATTCGGATCCTACATGGCCTTGTTTTTTTTTTAAATGCAAGTTAACATTGTGGCACGCCCCTTTTTTCAAGTGTAGCTGAGAGAAAGGGTGGAACATGACATTTGGTTGCATTCTCAATAGGAGAAAAGGCCACCCATGATCATAATTTTGGACTTTTTAGGACAATTAGATTGAGTTACTGCTATAAAAAAAAAAAAAAACGCTGAAAAACTGATTTAGTGCTTCTTTAAAGAACATATTTTACTTCAAGTTCAATAGTGAATATTTTAGATAAGTTTAGTGCGACTATGATGGGAACCAAGATGCTATTTATTTACGGCAGCAGTTTTATCGGAACTTCCCTTTTAGGTAAGGGATTACTAGCCTACCTTTGCCTTATAAAACTTAGTAGTAGCTCCTAGCAAGTGCCTGATACTTGTATTCATCTTTTCAAAATCATTAGCAGGCACAGACTGGGATCCAGGAAGACACATGATACTTGATTAGCACTTATGTCAATCATGGTTCCTTTCAAGTATTGCTTGTGCCTTTGGGTACTGCCATCGATTGATCAGGCTATTTTGTATGAACGTTTCGAGCTTGGAAGGACAAACTGCCCTGGTTTGTTAGGCCTCTGCTTTTGAGGGACGGTCTGATCACTGCTTTCCCACTGGCAACCACTTTTTACCATGTTCCTCAATAACTTCATAAAATATCTTGCGACGAGAGAACACACTAGTGCCATTTATTAGGTAGCTGTAAACACTTGGCATTTCCCTACATTTCTTTTATTTTTTAATGCGAAAGCATTAACTGGTCTCATGGAGCAAACCGACATCATCAGCTTTGAAACCACGCTAAGCGTTGACCGAACTGCACCTAAAATCCCCTTTTTCGTAGTTCTTTTTTTTTTTGACAGTGTTATAAATAACTATTTCTCATACACTCGATCTCTCAAATACAACAAAACCTTCGCTCTAGTGAGCGGCGGTTCCAGGGTCACCTCATAGTTGGCGCCAACATGCCAATGCGTTCTCAAGAGCTCAGTCGTAAACAAACACAAGTGTATGAATGGACCTTCACTTGTAAGACTGGCTACATGAGTTTTCTGACGAGTGTTGTCTGGTAGTGATAACATGAATACGAGCCTGCGCAACGCATACCCAAATTGAAACTGGCACAAGTGGTAATTGTTTCCATTGTGTAGGACTAGTTTAGTTTAATAATCAAATCGGTTATCTTTGAAAATACGCCACCTTGTATCTGCCACTATGTGGGAGCTGTTACACATTCCTTAGGTCAATCCATATCATCACTCTGCTGATAAGCTCTCAAGCCAGTGTCTTTGGTTATGCTCTGCAGGTGAACGTTTGTGTCTCGAGAAATCTTTGGGTAGAACACCTTAATTTTGCTCGAGTCATAATGTTAGCTTGTTGGTTTAAAGATTACATTTGTTGTAATTATGAGTACTGAGGAAAAAGGGGGGGGGGGGGGGGTGGTAGGAGGAGATTGAATAATTGCCAAATACACCTATTGCTAAATTACCCAAGCATCAATAAGAATTCTGAGAATGTAGGGTTATGTGCCACATGTGCTGGGATCTACAGCAGTAACTGCTACAAAGCAAAAACCTAGAACAAATGGCATCTCATACGCACATTCATCAATGCCTTATTTTGGTTATTTCCTTCTAATCTTTTATGCGAGGAAGGCAAGCGCATGTGGCGTATAGATCTACATTCCCTGCATTCTCCTTGATGCTTGGGTAATTTAGCAAGAAGTCTATCAAAGGGAGCAGCTGTTAAATTATTTAAAGGATGAGGTCAACCTTGCTCGGGCGTAGAAATGCCTTGCCGAGTGTTTAAATTGGTATGGTATCTTTTTTGTTGCTTTTGGTCGGGAATTAGTAACTTGTGGAACAATATAATTGGGGAGATTTGTGAGAAGGACTAAGATTCCTTAAAAAAAACCTGCAGAGAAAAAGAAAGTTTTTTTTAACAGTCTGGTTGGGACACGTGTGTCAAAAAATAATTTTTATGTGAAAAAACATTTTTTTAGAGCAATACTGACAGTGAGAGATTTATTTGGAATTCTGCGCGCGAAGTCTATGACGTCACTGGTCATTCCGGGATGACCATCTCGGTCTTGAAGGCAAAGCCGCTCCACTTCTCCTCCAAGCACCTGAAATGCCAAGAGAGAAAACAAGTGGAAAGGAGGTGACTGCTGACTAAATTTCGTCTCGCGCCGTCAATATTGCTCTAAAAAATTTTTTTTTTTTTTTTGTAAATTTTATTTTTTGACACATGTGTCCCAATCAGACTGTTTAAAAGAATTTATTTTCAGGGGCCCTTTAATGAAGCTGAGATTCTAGAAGTTAATGCCTTACCTTCAAATCTCAGAACCACATTTAGTGTGAAATGCTACTCTAATTTTCATGGGCAGAATGTGCACAGTTTCATAGGTGTACATATAGACACAACATAAATTTAAAAGAAGAAAAAAAAAAAAGTTTTGACAGAATGCTCTTTGGCAGTGTTGTTGGGTCACAATGATCATTTGGATATAATAGTATTTATTAGTGAAAAGCTTCCAAAATTATATTTGAATCGTTGCACATCAAGCTTCATTGTCATGTTTGCTGCAGATTTGCTCCATCTTGGTAGTATGTAAAGCTACTTGATAGTTGGATTTAGATTGAGTGAGGGATGCATGTTGACAACCCATGTCAGCACTTGTACTGAACTGGTCAAGTGGCCCTTCTACAAATGAGATGTCAAAAACCATTTTCAGTGAGACTAGCTTTCCACTCTTTTTAAACTTCCATACAACCAATGCTTGACTTTCTAGGGTGGTCCTTGTGGCTGAAATATTTCTCTAAAAGGTCGAACAGTGTGGGTATCTTTGAAGTGACTTATTTAGCTGTAACACTGCCAAAAACATCCAAAACGATAGTGGGAAACGTAATGCATGTCTGTGCATGCTCCACTCAGTTTGTTTGACTGTCTTCACTTCATGTGACAACACTTGTGTGACTGCACTGGGGTAAATCTGTCTCATGTGTCACAGGTGACTGCACAACAGGCCGGTAGCGAAGAACTGGGGAGAGAAAGGGTGAAGGAGTTCACCTTTGATTACTCATACTGGTCAGTGAACCAGAAGGATCCTCACTTCGTGACTCAAGAACAGGTGCGTAACCAAACCCATTCTGGGAAGGATACTTTTCACTGAGTCACCAGGCCCTTTGAATCCAGTACAACTTCATTATAATGAAGTCAGTTTGCAGATTAAGTTTATCTCTTCTACATCTTTCACATTTGGTTTACATGTCAATCCTGCAAATACCTGCACTTATCAGCATTACCGCAGGCTTGCTTTAACGTGGAGAAGAGGTGTGGTGTGCTTGTAATGCTGGTATATGCAGCGAAGTACTCGCATAATAGTAAAAACATTGACATAACAGCCTTGACAAATGCCCAACCTCCAGCATGCACTTCATGCCCTCCACCATGCGTCAGCTGTGCGCACGCGTTTGAGGTGCTCGAGACGTCAAAATGTCATTGAAGATAGGAAGCTTGCGCTGGAGGTGGCCAAAGCTCCCCCCTGCTGTTCTCACCTTGTTGGCAGACTTGTACGTAATTCGTTATATGTAATGCATTATTTCTATTTAGTTACTTTTTCTGGTAACAAAGTAATGACTCAATTACTTTTAGGGAGAAAGAATACAAAACATATTTTCTTTACTTTTTGATGATGTAACGAGTGAAGGTATTTAGTTAGTTCTGGAGGGGAAAATGTAGAGTGCAAGTTGCCTTTTTTTGGTTTTCACCACAGCTCGCGCCTGCGACTTTCGTGGCGGAAGAGTGCGCTCGAAGAAGTTGGAAAGATTCCCACAAGCGCGTTGCGAAAGCTAGGCGTCGTTAACGACGCAAAATATTGGAAGGCGGCTACTCTTGGGGGAGGGGGAGGGCAGACAGACGACACGTTCAAATTAACGAGAAAGTAACTTCTTAATTTAGAACTGAAATAATGCATTTATTTTTAACCTCAGTAATGAGTAATGTAAGTGCTCACGAAACTTGCACGGGAACTGCATGATTTTTTTTTCATGCAGCGCTGTACTGGATGAAGCTGAACAACGGCTCCTTGATGTAGCACTTCCGATTGGTTTGTTGAGTGCTACGTCACAAAACCGTTGCTCAGCTGCCGCCAGGATAGCGCTCCCATGAGAAACAACACTTTTTGTACATTCCTTTTAGGTTTGGTGAGCACTGTACTTAGTAGCAACTTTTTGAACGTATAACGGTATTTAGTTAATTTTTTTCAGTAACATGTACATGTCTGCTTGTCTGTGACCCTAGAGCAGTACATTGTGCAGCTTAAAGATAAACAAATAAATGAAACAAAAAAAAAAGTTTTTTCTTCTGTTGTGTTTTAAACAAGGTTTTTCAAGACTTGGGTCAAGAAGTGGTGGATAATGCATTTGAAGGCTACAACGCTTGCATTTTTGCCTATGGCCAGACCGGCTCCGGCAAGACGTTCACAATGATGGGATCCCCGGTGAGTAGGCCGTCGTCAGTTGTCCGGCCGTTTGCTGGCATAAGACTGATTGAATGGTTGAACTCTGGTTTGTCACTGTTTCAGGACAGCGAGGGACTTATACCACGTATATGTCAGGTAAGTTATTAAATGCACGCTTCATGACATTTTCTCGATGCACAAGTGTTATAAAAAAGTTTCTTTCAATTAATTTTTTTTTAGGACATAGTTTAATGATTTTTTTACCACCATGGCCTCGGGTCACCTGTGGGGAAGGTGAGGGGTGAGAGACAATAATTTAACCAACAAGTTTTATGCATTTAGTGACCTCTACTTAGATAGTGCGACGTGCCCACATTGTTTGTTTTCTCCCGAGATAGTTCTGGAAAGGCAGGGAGAAAAGTTGGGTATGAGCTCCTTTGTGCACTTAAACTTATGTGCACACTAATCTCGGCTTTCTCACATTTTGGGTGAACGTGTTTGAGGCCACCTACGAAGGTGTTATGTGAGATAGTGCCATGTATGGCATCAGCTTACATCCATTTTCTGGATACCTGGTTCTAATTCGAGGGAAATACAATCATGCCCATACAGGCCACAGTACTATAGCTGAAATCCTGAACCCGTGATTTCTCAAGATCCTGATTCTGCAAAAACGTTTTTTTGTCAGAAACAATTTGAATAAATCCATAAACTTGGGCAGTAAAGTTAAACGCTGAATCAGCCAAACAAAAACACAACTTATATCTGGGTTAACTGTGTCGGCCAGATTACACAGCTTTGAAGGATACTTTTAGTGTGCAAACGTTTGTTCAGCTGATGCAACCTCCGAGTAATACACAGACATGTTTGCAACACAAATATTCATTGTTGCTACTACGAGTACTTTAGTAAACTGTGTGATACCATATTTAAGCTTTTTCAGTCTGCTTTTTTTGTTTGTCCATAGCAAGTAAATACTTTCTACTAACAACATTTTGAAGACTTTTGTCTGCTGCCTTATATTTATGCCAACTTTTTTGCCCCCTAGGCGATGTACACAAGAATGAAGTTGAGTCAGAATTCTGGAACCACATTCCGCACTGAAGTCAGGTAAGAAGATGAGACTCCCTTTTTGAATGTTAGTTTTCATGACGATGAGAAAATGTTTCCTCTACTTTGTTTTTGAACAAAGTTTTACTGGTCTCTAAAAAATTAGAAAACCTTGTATATCGGGAATTTTAATTTTTAAAGCCTCTGACAAGTTTTTATATTGAGTTTTCATTAATAACCCTTAAATTTCAATATTAAAAGCTGTATGATGTTTCAAGCTTAAAATTTTAGTACATATAATTTTGCATTTGTTGTCTGCTTTATTTGGAAAAACCTAATTTTAACTATACTTTGTCTATTCTAAAATTAGTCCCTAATCTACTTCAATCTCAACGCTGATTAAGAGAAGTACTTGGTATAGTCTTTTTTGTAACTGTCCTGCAATTAAGCACTCTGGAAAGTACCATTCACTCTTTAAATGATAAATGCTATGAATTCTGAGTTTCTTTAAAAAGCCCCAGAACACCATTAAAAGCCCTTGTGATTTTAATAATATAAAAATCTATGTAGATTTTGTGTGAAATATACCGTTTTTGAGGAAGGGCGCAAACCCCTCTCTGCAGTTACCTTGAGATCTACAATGAAAAGGTAAAGGACCTGCTCAAACGGGAAAGCACCCAACACAACCTCAGGGTGAGGGAACACCCGAAACTCGGACCCTACGTGCAGGGTGAGTTTTCGCGTTTTGACGTTGCCGTCGGGGAGCGCTTTTCAGCAGTTTAGACTCTGTGTCCGTTCCGTAGACTTGTCCCGCCATCTCGTCATGGACTACTCTGACGTGCAGGAATTGATGGCACGGGGAAACGCTCACAGGTACGTGTCCACTTTTCTTTCTTCCTTTATAGGAAGTGGTTGCAACACAAACTGAAACAAAAATGTAACACATGGCAATATACCAATAAGTGTTGGTCTGATGATGACACAGTCTGAGGCGCTTTTAAAAAGAACATGATCCGGGATTGAGACTATAAGAGCGGGAAGCTGGTTCCAGTCACAGGCTGTAGATTGTAGGAAGGAGTGGTAAAAGATATTGGTGTGCGCATATATTATATATTTATTTGAGTGCCCTCGTGGACCCGAAGTAATTACAGAGGGGAGAGGCAAAACAATACAATGTACAAAACAAAGGTAGTACAAATGTGCTGTGAAAACATGAGTGGTCAAGGTTCGCATTAACAAAAATGGTAGGTTATTGCATCGTTCAATAAATTGACTGACAATAATTGAGACTAAATGTGTGGCAAGGTGCTCTAGTTTTGTGAATTCACTGTGTCTGGGAGTTATTTTTTAATTGCCCTCGACATCTTTCTCATTTTTTTTCTAGGTTTTTATAAGATCTTTGATACCAGGCTAACATCTCTTGAGGGGGATGCACCCAGGGGCGGATGCAGGAATTTCCTGAGGGGGGGGGGGTCAGGTGTTGGTCAGCGTACCATATGTTTAGGAACCACCTCCCCCTCTCTTTCGTTTTACGCCCTAAATTTTACACATGCGGAAATCAAGAGGGGGGTCAGGACATCCGGACCCCCCCTCTAAATCCGCCTTTAGATGCACCCATGCTATCACACTTCACAGCTTAACAACTAGAAGGCTTTGTCCTTCTATATTGTTATCAGCTATGCTGTGGGAGAGACTGTTAGGATTAGCTCTCTTACAGACCTCGTGTATTGATTAATTAAATAATTCATTAATTTCTTTTATGTACTCACAAACAGATACAAAATTTCTATACACTCCTAGCTCAGAGAGGTTATTGTAGTCCTGCAAAATAACCAACTGATCATGGAGGACCTGGAACAAGAAATAGCATATTTGGAGTTGTTAACTTCAGTAAAGGCCATACACTGTGACGCAAGATGCAAGATCGGCACTCTTTCGTACTTTACTTGTACTAGCGAGCCTCGACACTCGGATTCCACCTGCTGTTTGTTGTCACACTAAGGCTTGTTCACACACTTGCGTTTGCTTAGGACCACATTCTTACAATCTTTTATGACAACAGAACATGCTGGCACCATCTAGAAGGTGACCCTAGAACTGCATTTTACTGGAGTGAAGGTTTTGAAATATTCACGAGATCAAGTGTACACAATGTCTGTAAAAAATGGTCATGTATGAATTGTAAAAAAATTTTAAATCCCCTAAAAAAAAATTATGCGCAAGAAAACAGGAAATATATACGGAAATGCCAAATGTTCCACAGCTATCCGATAGATGGCACCAAATTGTTCTCTCATCGTAAGAGACTTTAGGAGGTATTAAGGCGCACAGTCGCAAGTGTGGGAACCAGCCTTCAGAATCGCTGTGCTATTTTTTCATACAACCAAAGCTTTTACCACTCGAGCGACAGCGCATAGTGATGACCACTTACATCAGGTCTGGGTCACAGTTATACCTTGAGCCTTGCAAGATCTAGCAAACAGAAAAAATAAAGAAATGAACACTCTTTTGTTTATGAACATTGTTTCGTTTCCAGAACGACTGCGTCAACGGCCATGAACGATACCAGCAGTAGGTCGCACGCCATCTTCACTCTCAACTTCACCCAGGTGAGGACGAAGTTAATCTGACCCTCAGCTCCTGTTTGTTCGACTGTCTGTCACAACTCCTGACAGGTATTACCAACGACCGTTTCGTTTTCCAGGCCAAGTTTGTCCGGGATCTGCCCAGCGAGACCGTCAGTAAAGTCAACCTGGTTGATCTTGCTGGCAGGTAAGATGGAGTTTTACATTGTCTAGCAACATTTACTTTATATTGAATGTCTTTAGTTCTATAGGTGCTGAACTATGCGCAGCTTATTTACTCGTAGAATAATCGTCTCCTCCGATGCAACCTTTGAGAAAAAGGTTCCAGTCTGTTTTTTTGTACAAAATAGTTTGTTGCTATGTGGAAAAAGGATAGATGACGATGGCTTAGAATAAAAATCGGAAGACGATTTGTGGTGATCTTCCTTGAGGAAAGTTATGCTGCAGGAATTTGAGGTTATTTTATTTGCGGGTTAAATCTAGCGGAAACATTACTGACGTATATGCAGAAATATCTTCCTGCCTATCTCGTTCCACTTAGACTTCCCATCAAAACAGTGAGATCTTTCAAGTTTGACAAAATCTAGTAAATTGTTCTCACATATTGTTCATGCAATACCTCTGGCAACGTCCATTATCTCGGGTTTGCTCAAGGGAGCATTTTATATTTGCCGTTACTTTAGGTGAAAATATAATACTTTTTCACGAATATGAAATAAAGGGATAGTAGTACTACCCTCTTAAACTACTGTCGAGACCGGTTGTAACGAAGTCAACGGGAATCTGAAATCACTTCGCTGTATCCGCTATTTCGTTATAACCGACTTCATTAATGAAGTGCACAAAGGGAATGGAAAATCGTGATCGCTTGCTGTAGCCGCTATTTCATTATAACCGACTTCGTTATAACTGGTCTCGACAGTGCACTGAGTGCGTGTTGTAATTTTTGCACTGCAGATCTAATTTTTTTGCTGTAATTATAACTAGCTTTAAGGTGTTGCAATGGTTTGTTCTGGGATACCTTGTGTGTATGGGAAAAGTTACATAAGCATGATCATGCTGAGAAAGATCACGGAGCACAAAATGTGTGGAATGTCAATCACCTGTCACGTGATGTCAGGATATCACGTGACAGCATGGTCTTCTTATGGGCTATGTGAACTATGGTTCCTATGGATCCTACGTATAAAGTGTAATGCTGGGATCTGACGTTGGAACGTAATGGTTTTCTCAGAGAAAGCGAGCGTATATGCGCATTTTGTGTTAACATTGCCTGTTACGTTCTTGGTTAGCGAGCGTGCAGATTCCACCAAGGCAACTGGCCAGCGGTTAAAAGAAGGTGGTCACATCAACAAGTCCCTGGTCACACTGGGCACGGTCATCTCTGCTCTGGGTGAGCACCTCTTGGTTCCCAACACGAGCTGAAAATATCCCTAGTTCCAGCATTTTGTTTTATTTGTTTCATTGAGTAGCCGTGCAAACACGTGTCCCCCCCAAAAAAAAACATACAATGTTTTTTTTACCGCTAAAGTAAATGACGCATTGCCAAGCACTTGTTCTCTGCCCAAACATAGTGCTAGCAGTCTGAGGCAGATATCAAAGTTTTAGAACTACTAACTCTGATGCATTCAAAAGTTGCGAGGGATTTTTCGAAAATTTAAATGGGAAAATGGGACCCGTTTTCGGTAAATGGCGCCATTCAGCGTCATGTACAGTCGCCGACCGATCTTTCAGACTTCGCAGGGAGCGAAAAAACGTCCGAATAAAAGAGCAGTCCGAAAAATCAGCAGATTAAAAATCTTGCCTTAATAATGTCTAAGCAGGCTAGAAAATTGACTGCATCTTTACATGGTGAATGATGTTGATTGGGGCGAAGCTCTGGTGGTGCTTGTCTGCGTAGACGCTGAGTTGCAGCATGTCGAGCCTTTCGTTAGTTTTCATCTATGTCGGAAAGAGAATGTGAGGTATGGAACGTGGTTACATATGCGTTTGAGCATTTGACTGCAGCGCCCTCTCGTCTAGAAACGTTGAGCCAATGCATGCAAAGTTTAACGCGATTATATATGCATTTGACCGCGGCCCCCTCTTCTGTATAGGCGTTGACCGGCTACATGAAACGTTTCATCCATGACATCCCCTGCTCTTCAGCTACTCGCACATCTCAGAGCCCCCTACTCGTCCTGCAGTCGTGGCCAAGGGGTTAAGCGATGGACTAGAAATCCACTGGGGTCTTTCCGCACAAGTTCAAATCCTGTCGGCTGCGCAAACATTTTTTTTTTTTTTTAATTTTTTGCTTTACACGAGCACGTGAGCTCACGAGCACGAGCACCAGCAAGATCGATGTGAGCATGGACACCGGAGGGACAAGGCTAGACCCTAAGGAGCTTCGCCCCTAAAAAAGTCGTAAATAGTGCCTTGCTTTATGTTACGCCTTCGCTTGCGTGTGGCCACTTTCTATTAGCTTGAGAATTGCTGCCTTCTTTTCTAGCATTATGGTCGAGTGCTTTCTGCGCTTCTTAGCGACACGTAGCGGCGGCGGAAGGACAGTTGGGGCCACGATGTCCAAGCCAGCGTAGACCGAAAATACAATTCACTGAGACGGGATGAGAGGCACAGGTCCACGACTGCAGAATGGCCAATGAACAAAGCAAAGTGGTAACAATGATGATGACAATGACGCACAGTTAGAGAAGAAGAAAATGACCGCATCTCCACGTGGTGAATGATGTTGATTGGGGCGAAGCTCTGGTGGTGCTGATGATACTGATTTTGTTCATAGGTAGTGCTGATGGTGCTGATTTTTTTAAAAATTTTTGTTGCTCATAGATAGTGCTGAGTTCCGGGTTGCGTTTCAACTTCATTAGCTAATGCATGCAGTTTAACTCGATTATATACGCATTTGACCGCAGCGCCCCCTCCTGTATAGACGTTGAGCGGCTACATGCAACGTTTCATCCATGACATCCCCATCTCTTGAGTTACTACCACATCTCGGAGCCCCCTACTCGTTCCGCAGTTGTGGCCGAGTGGTTAAGGCGATGGACTAAAAATCCATTGGGGTCTCCCCGCACAGGTTGGAATCCTGTCGACTGCGCAAACGTTTTTTCTTTTATTAAGAAGACAGATGGGATGGCAATCGATGTGAGCACGGATGCCGGACTGACAAGGCTAGACCCTAAGGAGCTTCGCCCCTAAAAAAGTCGTAGCATGGCGTCCCCTAGTGGTGGGACTTAGCAGAACTCAAGAAGCGCTGCCAAACCAAGCCAATCCACATGCAGCCAACATAAAATCTGAAATGGCGGCTTCTTGGCAGCGTTTCCCGCTGCTCGCTCGTTACGATTTTGTCCGAAAAATCGAACTTTCGGATTTTAAGCTGTTTGAAACATTGGTCGTGAATATGCAGTATTTATATTGGGTAGGTCACGGTTCCTCCTTTAGGTCCAAAATATCTAACAACTCCGAATTATCGGTGTCCGAAAAATCTGTTGGCGACTGTGTTCGAGGGCTCCGTTGGCCATCATTTTTCCATTGAAAATTTCAAAAAATGGCTTATAGCTTTTGAATGATATAACGGTTACTGGTTCTGAAACTTTGGCGTCTGGTTCATACTGCTAACACTACGTATGAACTGAGAATGAGCGTTCAACAATGCATAATTTATTTTTATTGTAAACTTTTTTTAAATTTTTGTTGAACTTCTTTTAAATTTTTGTTTAACTTCTTTTTAAGTTTTAAACAAATTAGATTAACCCTTTAACCACTCAACCCGAGCTGTACTCGTCAGGGAAGGTTGTACCAATATTGCCAATGGCGAGTTACACTCGTCCAGCCAAAATGATGGTTTGCTTTCACTGCCAAACACAAGACAGGTTCGTCCATCGGCTTTAGTTTCAATTTTCAACACCGGAAGGCAGGAGAGGTCGCACAAACATAGCGTGTTTTCGCCTTTGGTACGTATCTAGCCTTGTAACAGTGATCAGAGATGGCAGCGCGCTTGAGTGATGCCGGTGACGGCCCTCGGAATCGGGCTCTTCCTTGCGGCAGTTTGAACAGTAGCGACGATGAAGACATTGAATTTGTCTCTGAAAGTGAGTTGAACATGACGATGACCTCAGTGAGGAATTAGACGACGCGCTGGGTAGTGTTCGAGTGTGGCAATGCGTAAACGCTAGAAACCCGCTAGCTGCGCCTCCGAGGTTTCCGTTTTGTGCAGTGCCTGGGATTCTGTGGCAACCCACTGACGAAAACGACATTGTCAACTGGTTCAAGGTTTCTTTTTTGATTGGGACCTTCCCAACTTCATTGTGACAAAGACAAATCGCTATGCGGTTCCGCACTTCCCAGCGCGGGGTTCTTGATGGAAACCGGTGGACCGCGAAGAGATGATGGTGTTCCTTGCGCTAATAATCCTGCAAAGAATCATTACTTACGGAACTTTGTTAGCGCTACTACAGAGAAATGTCTAGGCACTTGATCTTTTGTTGTGGTGCGTATTTTCAAATAAATACTGCGCATTTCATCATGTGTTATTCTCACTCTTACATGCACTGAGGGAAAGCTTCCATATAAATCAACATTTTCTTTTAAATTTTTTCTGTTAATAACTGTCAGAAACCAATCAAGTACTAATGTAATTGCAAAATCAGAACCACATAAGAAAAAATATGTGCAAATAAAAAACTTTGGGAAAGTTTGTACATTTTTTTTCAAAGATTACTTGGTGGTTAAGGGTTAATCAGTTTCTCTGAGGTTTTCCTTGATGTTACGATTTTTCATGGTGATGGCATTATATGGCAAGTGTATGCCAACCGTCAAGATTTTTTACAGTGGGAAGAAACCGAGTACAGAAAGTTACGTCTTTGTGATCACAGTTCCAAAAATTCCCCAGAAATGGGGACTTATCCCTGCAATTGTCAGCAGTCTCTGAAAGTTTTCTTGGAAGCCTCCGGGCTCCTAGCAACAGTCTGGGGAACCATGCTTCATAGTACAAATATATTCGTATTTTAACAAAAAAAAAAAAAGATTTTTTTTTTTCAGAAAAATTGCAATTTTTCATTGTTTTATTGTGGGTGATTTAGTCAGTTGAACTAAAGTCCTGGCTCATTCCCTATGGTTTCAATGTGTTTGCTTGACCAGAATAATTAATGTATTTGTTTTTGAGTTTCTGGTTAACAAATAACATATCTGGCATTGCCAGGTGTCTTTTATTAATATTTGTGGTACGTAGGAATCAATTGGTAATGACTCATTCGACGTCCACTTGTCCACTTTCAAAATAATTTTGAATATGATTTTGACGTCCGTGACGCCATTTTTTGAAGACGTGAAAATATTTTGAAAAATATTTGAATTATTTTGATGTCTCCAGCTTAGAACTTTGCAGCTTCAGAGTCCGGACTGGGGAGCGATCGAAGGGTGGTGGTCAAAAAATGTCATCTTGCTTGCATGCAGCGTCGCGGTTCGCAACACATTTTCTGAAAACAAATGTTATGCGGTTGGCTGCTGTTTTTATGACCTTTTAAATGATGTGAAATGCAAAAAAATAAAAAAACTTATCAAAGTGTATTAGCTATCAGGCCATACATAATGTTTGCTTGGTTGTGCGAACCATTACAGAATGCGGCACCGCTGCTTTTTATGGTTTATTTCATGTGATTTATATAGACAAAGGAGCTGAATGCCGTGTCATAACATTTTGCAGTAAATTGAAAAATGTGTGTATCTCGTGCAGCCGTGCCAGAATCTTTGTTTGTCCGCACCGGTCAAGAAACATCAAGGAGGCAATGTTCGCATTCACAACCTTTTATTTAACATCCCGATCGTTTCGTGGTTAACTTGCCCGTTATGCACGAACGAAACAGAAGATCTAAACTAAACAACAATCTCACGAAACCCAGTTAAAAACAGGGTGGGAACCAGATGCGAAACGAGACAGCAAACATACGAAGACGCACTCGCACTTTATAAAGTTACAAAAAGCGTGCTAAATTTCTCAGTGTTACGTACTGTACGCACTTCCATTTTCCACGTGCAAGCAATACAGAGGGATATCCAGCTTGCCTTTGTTGTAGACGCAAAATTTTAAGTGAGACAGGTGCCAAGATGCGAGCTCAGAACGCTCAGAGTCACGCCCGAAAGGATCAACTCTCGAACCAGTCCCACACTCTGCCAACTAGGACCAAAACGTCTTAAGCATGCAACACAAGAATCCGTCAAAACGCCAACACAGCACCATCACTAAACAGAGTGAAACTTAAAAAGAGCTACCACGGTGACGGCTGCTGCATTGAGGAGGACGTCGAAATAATAAAGCCGCTATTTTGACGTTTTACGAAAGTGGCGTCGCAGGCGTCGAAATTATTTTTGAAATATTTTGACAGTGGACGTCGATATAGTCACTGCCTAATCGACTTTGCTTAAATAATCCCGTTCACGCATGCCAGCAAGGCACGTTGAGACGAGAGCCGTAGCTGTCGCAGAGGGTCTTAAATCACCGCTATGCCTTTTTTTTTTGTGCGTCAGACATTGCGTGTTTGCGAGCCAAGAAAGGGCCAATGTGACAGCTTGTGGCATTTCTTCCAGCCAGCTCGGGAATGAAAGTACAAAGAACAACAAAAATGGGAGGAGCAACAGCTGCGTGAGCTAGTCCACAAAAATTTCGCAACACCCCATTTTTTTTTTTGTTTTTTTTTTGCACAGAAAAGGGGGGGGGAGGGTGTATTTTAGGGTCGTTTTTTTTATGAGAAAATTGTCGTGAATGAGCGTCATAACGGGTGTCATGAATGAGCGACATGGTGGGAGCGTTAAGTGCATTAAGGTTATTTGTAAAGATTACGCATAAAGTTTGGGTCGGTGCAGTAGTATCAGATGCTATAACCACTAAGCTACTAGCACAGCTGGTCTGGAGAGGTAAACACTCTTATTTGGATGTAGGCGTTCCGGCGAGAGCGACAGGTCTCGAATGCAAACAATAAAATAAAATAATCAATAAAATGAGTACAACATTAAAAGTGAATACAAAAATATAAAAATAAAATAAATTGAAAGAATAAAATGAAATTGCTTAAATATACAAATAAGACAAATGAAAATAGTAAGAATAGTAAAAAAACAAATACATGTAGCATATAAAAATAAAATAAAATGAAAAGGAAAAAAAGAAATAAAACAATATTAAAGAGATTGCAAAATCTGGCATGAACCACACGCCAAGTGTGGTTTGTGCAGGAGACATTCTGTGCTTCCTGGTTTTCGTTGTCATGATCGAGCCTGTAAAATTTTTAAAATTTTTTTGATTCTTGAGAGAGTATTTTTTTGGTTATATTCACCTTTCAAAGCCAGTTATATTTTGGTTTTCATTAGCGGTCAAGCTACATGAGCGCTATCTCTACTCTATGCACCATTCAATAGTGAGTTTCTGGTATTGCATTGAGTGACCTCACGAAAAGCATAAGCGGCTAGAGAGACTCATCTTGTGACGCGAAGAACTTCGGAGTTCACCCTCATTCCAAAGTACCGGACTTTGAGCTGGTGTCAATTGAATGATTTTATGAATTGACATCATCACTGGATACAATTGTGCATGGTAACCCTGAAGCTAAAGAACAGCACTGTGGAATATGAGTTTACCATATCTGCAATCTGCAGTGTCTGTTCCGTTGCTGCGCAATGGTGTCCTTGCGTCGATTGCTAATTTCTTTGTTGCTGTTGCACCTCGGAAGATTGTTCAATTTATATTTTTAATCGTTCATTACTTCACCTTGTCGTGCAGATGTACCACTTCATAGTAGATCCTGCTTCTTTACTGCATGCTTAAGTCTTCGTGCTGAACTTTTAGAATGAGGTGACCTGTAAAGCATACTTTTTCATTGGTTCCCGGGGTTTGTTATAAAGTCATTTGGCCCTAATGATTGCTGATTGAGGTTTAATTACCGTGTTCATGGTAATGTTTGAGTCATTTTTTTATGATACAAAAGGGACAGGTGTTTCGGATTCTTTGGTATTTTTGCAGCTGAGCTGTCCACCAGTCACTCCAAGAAGCGTGTGTTCATCCCTTACCGAGACTCGGTGCTCACTTGGCTGCTTAGAGACAGTCTCGGTGGAAATTCAAAAACCATCATGATTGCCAGTGAGTATAATTGCTGTTTACAATAACGAAAGAGGGACATGGAAGACAAACAGACAACACAGTCTTTCGCTTGCTATCCCTATCATTCTCTATGATTTTTGGTGATTTCTAGAATATTCGCAACTCCAACGCCCTATAGGTGGCGGGGCGGTAGTTCCAAGATGGCGGAAGAGACGGGGATAGATTCTCCGGGATATCCCGTGCGCCTGCTCGCGCTGACGCTGTTCAGCGCGCTAAAAATGATTTATTTATCTACAAATGCGAAGCGGTTAGGGAGGGGTCATATTACAGGTGACGGAGATGCTGATGCACGTTAGGAAAACGAGCATGCTGATATTTAAAAGTTGCAGAAACCTCAAATTGCGAAGCTTTGTGGTGGGTGAGCGTGTTTTAGGCACCGGCCACGTTACTGTTTGTGGCAGAATATTTTTGAAGGTGATGAAGATATGTTTGCGGCTTTGCCTGGTCATTAGTTCTCTAAAAAGAGAGCCGCGAACGGTGGCCGTCAAGCTTCGGAAGAGCAGCGTACACAGTATTGGTGTCTTCGCGTCCCAGCCTCACAACTCGCTGCTCGCCGTCTCGGTTTTAGTGTATTGCAACGCGTAATGGTTCTTGATAGAAAGTTTGTTACCGCAGGCTACCGTGCGGTGTAGCATTACAACCGCGAGCTCGCACTGCGCCTTTGAAGCACAAATTTCAGTGCGCTCCATTAGCGTTGCCGTGCTCATCACTCTAAAAAAGAAAAAAGGAAAATGTTGAGTTCTTTCACCCCTTGGCACATATACGACACTCCTAAACTTCAGTTCGCCGTGCAGCCCACTGACGTCAAACTGACGGCCCCAACTTTTACGAAAGGCTTGATGACGGCGCATTATATTAAACAGCTAAAGTATGCGTCAAAGAGTACCGAAAAGAAAAACGAGGTTTTGCAGTAGGGCCAAGAAAAACCCGATTATTATTATTATTATTTCTTTTTTTAGAGTCCTTTACACTTACTTCATCTATTTTAAGAAGTTGCACAACTCGGCAATCAAGCCGCTCGTGAAGGTTGGTAGCGCTGGTTGAACGTCAGTGCGTTGTATGTTCAACCAAAGTTTAGGGGTGTCGTACGCTCTGCAAAAACTGCCTATTAATATAACCGGCGATCTTAGGGGTTTTATTTATTGCTCTATAAAAATACATATTTTAATATACCGTAAATTTTTTGTACCCTGTTATTTGCAACATTGCGGTCCCTCTGGTCAAAACTGCGTGTTCTAAGCTCTCGTCACAAACGGCTGGTTAAAACAGACCCGCGTTAAAATGCTTCAAGGATTTCTTTATTCGCTTTGTAATCACCTGAAAGCAAGTACGGGTATTCTGTCTTTTTGAAGTACTTGGAATAAATGGTCATGTTCCTTGTAACGGCCTTAAAACGCGAACCCAATTCCGATTTGTATAGCTCAACATACCGTTGCGCGACGAGTTTTCTCCTACTTATGGCAAAGAATAGACTTTCCGCAGACCGTACTATTGACTGCTTAATTATTAGCAGGAGCGTTTTCCATCACGTTGAGTACAGATTGAGCTGGCGGTCATGCACAATACCAGAAATCCGCAGCGTATGCGATACACGAAAAGTCCCTAATGAAATTTGATATTCCGGCCCTTCGTGCAAGGCTGTTGTAAGGCGGAGCACAAGAATTCCTTTTTTTTTAACGCGCTCACTTTTTTCGTTAAAACGGCTTCACGCATCAAGGCCGAAAGTCCCTGCCACCGTTTCCACGCCGCCGCTGCCGCCGCTGCCGTCCCCGCTCCTCTGGTTCTCCGTTCGTCCGCGGGAGGGCGAGCGGCGCGCTGGAGTTGCGAATAGCACTTACGGATCCAATGATGGCAAAATCCCAAAGCCTACATTATATTTTTTTTGTTCTTTTAGCAATTTCACCGGCGGAGTGCAACTATGGCGAAACGCTGAGCACGTTGCGCTATGCAAATCGAGCCAAGAACATCATCAACAAGCCTACCATTAACGAGGTCAGTTATTAAGAAGCACTAATTGTTAAATTCATTTTGTTGGTCTTACGAATGCAAGAATAAAGCTGACTGAAATACTTCAAACGTCAGCCAGTGGCAGATCTAGAGCGGGGGAATGTCCTGATCTCTCCCCCCCCCCCCCCCCCCCCCTCCCCCTTTAATTTCGCAATTGTGAAACTTTAGGTTGGGGAAAACGGGGGGTAGACGTGTTTTTTCATAATCTGATACATTGACCCTTTCACCCTCTCAAAACACCTTCAACCGCCCCTGCTGGTACATTTATGCGATGACGGCAGGTTTTGTGGGGTTTTGTTTTCGGATTACATGGAATTCAAAGCTAATGCAAGAAAGCGAATTTGAATTCTCTTGAGGTCAACTGTACCTCATAGTTAGCAGTGAGCACATTTTGATAAGAAACACTTTCTTGGGAACAGAGGAAGTTAGGTTGTACCGATATGTTTGCCTTGAACGCTGCCGTCACTTCGCACCATTATAGGAATCCTTGTCATGTGTTTGAGTGTATTTCTCCTACTATGGCACACTCCTTATCAGGCTTTACTGGATTACATCATGATTTTTGCTGTCGAAACCAGTGTGAATCTGCCTGGATGCATATACAGCATGTCCCCCCCGAATTATTTACAGGGTTTTTTTTTTCACTGCAAAAATAAACCACACATCACCGAGCACTCAGCCTGTGCCCTAATGTGGCGCTAGCAGTTGGAACCAGATGACCAAGTTTCAGAACTAACTGTTATCTTATTCAAAAGTTATAAGTGATTCTCTGAAAAATTTAATGAGAAAATGTGGCCCGTTCTTGCTAACTGGCGCCATTCAGCTCCGTGTATTCAAGGGTTCCATCGGCCACCATTTTCCCAGTTCGGACTGCTAACGCTGCATTCGAGTGGAAAAGGAGCGTTTGGCGATGCCTAGTTTATTTTTGCAGTAAAAAAAAAAACTATATATTTTCTTGGGGACACCTAGTAGTATGCAATCTAACAAAGCTAGGCAAATATATGAACATATCAAGAGAACCATAAATTTGGAACCAAACAGATAACATATAGATCTGCATACAAGGAAGTTAAACTGAGATAAATGCCGGCTTGGCAGAGACTTTAGTTCAGATACACTAATTCTGACAGTACTCTTCCCCGTGATAAAATGTTGTTAAAAATGTTTAAATTATGTTAACCATATGGAATTTGGTTGATTCTTTTTTTCTTTGCCTTTGCACCATTGTTTTTTTTTTCTACATTTATGTAACTGATTGTCCTATATACTTATTGACTGTCTGATTTGTTTCCAGGATGCTAATGTCAAGCTCATCAAAGAGCTACGGGAAGAAATAGCCCGTTTGAAATCCAAGGTTGGAATCGATGATGTAAGTTTGATTAAAGTCTCTCAATCTCGACAATGACATATAGTAACAAAGTGGTTAATTAGGCTGCTTGTTTCATTGTCTTAAAGATATGAATTGACAATAGGAACCAGGATATAGTAAGACACCACACATCCCCTTGTTGTGTTTTACTTCATCTTGGTTCTTGTTGTTTCTTTGCTTTTATAGTTAGACATACCAAATCTTTTCTTGCTAAAGTAGGAAAAAGATAATTGGTTCGACTTAAATTAATATTTGGTATGTGCTTTGGGTCTCTTGCAGGGTAGCACCTTGGTTATGGAGAAACTTCAGGAGAATGAAGCCAGGGTAAGATATACCTTACCTAAATTGGAGGAGTCAAGCTAACAAGTTAATCATGCATCAGATATGTCACCTCTCTCCGTCTTCATCGTGCAGGTGAAATTCCTGACTGAGGAGTGGACGGAAAAGTGGAAGGAAACCCACAAGATTTTAAAGGTTAGTCTTCAGCCCATTATTTTATATGTCTCGGTAACTTTTGTATGTGTAGATAATACTGCAAGCGGAACACTGCTGTGGTGTTTTTACAACCAGTTGATCGGATTACTTTATTTAAAGTCACAATTATGACTTTGCCATCCTATCGTGCTGCTTTATTTAGTGTATTTGCTTATTTCTTACAAGGCGCTTTTGAAACTCGTTACTAAAAGCATGCTGATTTCAAACGTACTAGTAGTCACATTTTGGAGAAAAAAAAAGTCTAAAAGAAGAAATGAAAGAAAAATTTTGGTGTGGAAGCTTAGTTATGAACAAAATGCAGAGCAACTAATAATTTAGTTACAAGTTGGTCGGCTTCACAGCACCAGTCTTGGTGGTAGGTTGCAGAGCTAAATTTTCGGAGCCACCGTTGGTGATACGACAAATTTAAGAATATAAAATAAAAGATGCGAGCGCAAAGTCACAAGTGCTGACGTGCGACAAACATTTACCTCTCCAGGAGCAAAAGACCCTCGGGCTGCGGATGTCCGGTCAAGGCGTGGTTCTGGATTCCGAGCGGCCACACCTGATTGGCCTCGGTGACGATCTGCTCAGTACCGGAGTGGTCCTCTATCACCTAAAGGTGAATTCACTCTTTTTCTTTTATTCTATAAATGCTCAGCCAGTTCACAGAAACATTTTTTTTTTTTTTCAAATATAATTAGGGGTTTATGGCAAGAATCGGTTGTCTCCTTTTACCTGTTTCTTTTTATATAGTGATTTTCAGGGGAAGTCCCCAGTATGGAGAAAATTTACTTAAAAATAGATTGACTTCCACCTGAAATAAAGCACAGCTCGTGCCGCCTAGGTGACTGGCGACGGCTGAAAAAAAAAATTGTGCTGACGATCACCCGACGTGATATGAGCGAACGGCGTCAGCTGGTTCGATATTTTGATGATATTGCGTCGTGGTTGACTGGAAGTTTCAGTTATGTTACGTTGTACAGTGTCTTGCGTTAACCACAACTGATAGCACACAAAACAGCTAGCACCAAACGTGTTCTTGCGGATGCACTGCGGAAGTTGTTCGGTCGCACGAGTGCGTCTATTCTGTAACGTTCCCTTCTACGTGCTGCTTCACGTTCACGCACAGCATGATCTTCACATTGAATGCGTTCTATCCTAGTGCTAAGGGTGAGACTGTCGGCGCCTACGCATCGACAACGTTCTTTCATGGGCGCGTTTACGCTGTGGAGCAGCCGCTGCTTGCTCTGGCGTATGCTTCGGTCGCTTCATTTTTGCGCGCAAAGGGTTAGAGGGCTGAGAGATCGGGCGACCGAAGGCGAGAAAGAGTGGGTGGCGAGGAGCGCAATCACACGACCCTTGGCGCAATAGCGATTGGCCGAATGCGCCGCTCCTCGGCTACAACTATTATCGGCGAAAGGGCGAGGGTATGACTGCTGTACTCACCGTCTCCCGGCACCATAGCCACCCGTGATAAACACTCGCATGCTCCGTTCATTTTTGCCAACACAACACTTGCCCAGTACAATGAGCTAGTGTGGCTGACACTAAAAAGTCCTCCTGGTCCGGGATTTCATCCCAGGACTTCCCAAGACTAGTGAATCCCAGACCAGGTGGATTTTTTTGAGTGGCCACCAGTTGCCTTGAGGGTGCAAGTTGTGCTCCATTTCAAGTGAAAGCCAATTTATTCTTACTTAGCTCTTTCTCGCTGCAATACGTTTTATGGTATCCTATCGCTATATATATTGTTATTACATGGACACTCGTCTTCAAACTCCTGTTGCTAATCTCTCGGAGTAATTTTTTCACATCTCTACAATTTTGCCATATAGTTATTCAATTTGGTGGCTGTATTACTAGTTCTCTGGGCTTATTGGGTGTTGGCTAGAGGTTGTCAGCAGGCGTTTTGTTCCAGGATGGCATAACGAACATTGGGACCGAGAAAGCAGCCATCAAGCAAGACATTGGTGAGTCATTCTCCAGCATTCTGTTGGTAACGATTGTTGACCGATTCCCTTTAGTCTTTTTGAACTGAGAATGAGAAAAACATTGATTTGTTTCTGCCACGCTATTCTCCGGTCACTGGCATAGACCAGGAGTGGCCAAGCTGCGGCTCACGAGCCGCATGCGGATCTTTGCGTGTTAAAGTGCGGCTCGCGGCTCCCTCCCATTTGCCCATTTGCCCCCCCCCCAAAAAAAAGGAAAGAAATGGAACGGGTTTTAAATCAAAAGACAGGTTGCGGTTTGTATAGTATCGTGCTACTGCTACCTTATGTATAATTGGACTGTTTTTGACGCGGATAGATTGTAAGTAGTTTGAGTTGTGTTTATTGCTCTAAACAAAAGTTTTTTTGTTTAGAGCCCCCCCTCCCCCCCCCCCTCGGCTCTTGGAAGGTTCATGGTCTTGTTTGCGGCTCTTAGGCCGAGTCAGCCTGGCCACTCCTGGCATAGACAAATAAACTGCCGTGTAAATCTTTGGTTACTTGTGTTTTCTGAAGAGAACTTTCAGCTTTCAAAGGGATTGTTCATTAAAGTCTGCCCGACAAAATCTGTAGATATCTAAGTTGTTTATGAAATATAGACCTAACATTTCTTTAAGCATTTTATAATATGGTATCGCTCACGACGTCTGTTTTTCTTTGGTTTTTACGCGATGATGCAGCATTGTAGCTGTGGTGCTCTGTAGTTGGTGACAGGTGTGCAATAGAAGCTCAGTCTCCAGCATGTGCTCTTTGCTCTCCACCAGTCTTTTGCCGCGCCTGCAAGGAAGTATTATCAAAGACAGAATGCTTATGTTGGAGGCAGAGCATCTACCGCATTCTTAACCTGGCTTTGACTATAGTGTGTATCAAGCAAGCCCCCTTCACCTAAAAACATTCAAGTACTGGCCTCATAGTCATCTCCCCTTGCATTTATGACTGACTGGCATTATATTTGTGTACATCGAGAGTTGCGGGGGTGTCAGAGGTGCGGTCTGTTTGCAGTGTTGTCTGGCAGCGGTATCCAGGACGAACATTGTGCCATTGAGTTGGTGGATGGTGGCGCCACCCTGTCGCCGAATCCCGGCTCCGAGTGTTACATCAACACCCTTCCCATCGATAAGCCCACCAGACTCACCCAGGGTAAGATCCAAGCGACCGATCGTAACTTTTTCGTCATTGAACAAAGAAGTTGAAATCGTTGTTGAATGTCGAGTGTTTTCAGCCCAGGCATTTTTGTAGTGGATACAAAGGGCGGTGGAAATGGGGAGGGGATAGATTAACTTGCAATATGTGCCCCATGGAAAGCAGCATAAGAATGCTTGATTCAATTTTTCATGCATTCATTTGCACGTCAGCTACCACAAGTATCTACGTTACAAGTATCTTAGGAGTTGCGAGACAAGAGAGGAAATATAGTGCTTTAAAACTTTGGTTATAGCTGGTAGTATATTTGTAGCTCTAAAAAAATAGAACTACTACAGAGCACAAATGCGGTAATCTTTGTGTGCTTTAGTCTATGTCTCGTTTGCACCGTGTCATTCTCTTTGTCTAGGAAAGAACTGACTTATTTATTCAGTTTGAAGGTAGCTTAAAAACAGCCACTACTGTTGTCAAAACCTGTATTGCCCACACTGTCCCATCAACTACCCGAGTACAGGTAACATGAGTTTTATGAGGGTACCTTCTGTTTTCTGTTCAGGTTGCGTAGTTCTACTGGGGTCGACCAACGTGTTCCGCTACAACGATCCCGCCGAAGTGCATAAACTGAGGAAGGAAAAGGAGCGCCGAGTGAGTCTTCTAATCTTGTGCATGATAATCTTCTGGTATTAGCATTACAAAAAGCATGAATGGTGATGGAAGAAAGTCACTTTTCTTGATGTCTCATATTTAGTGTTGTGCAAATGTTCGAAATTTCGAATAGTAGTTTTGAATAATACACTATTCGATATTCGCTTTGAGACGAACTGCGGCATTAGTATTTTTCTACATACCATTCATCGCAGCGGGTTAGCCCTGTTGTGTTCACCCCTTACCGTGCAGAGGTGCACTGCGGAGAAGTGACACCTGCCAAAGTGACCTCCACAGGTGTCGCTTCTCTGCAGTGCATCGGTGCTCGGTAAGAAACGCACTCCATGGGGTAACCCAGAGCCGTGTATACAGATAGTTTGGTCAATGGGAGGTGCGGGCAGAGCCAGGGCGTGCACCAAACGGAGAAAGTGGGCTGGACATGCTCTCTTGGCGAACCAGGAGCCTAAAGGAATCCCCTAGCAGCTAGGGTGACCACCCCCCCGCTAGCGAAATGCGGGACACAAAGGGGGAGGGGGGAGGGCGGGGCGGGGCTAGAGGTATTTTTTTAACACTCACACCACAAACCGAGGCTCTGTAAATACATTTAATATTCTGTGCTGTTTATACATCTGCTCACTGTATTACAGCAATTAAGCTGAAATAATTTTCAGTCCCAGTGATATACCTTTTTATACTAAATGTGTTCTTAAATGTGTCGACGTTGAAAACATAAAAATGGACTCTAGCAGAACTGAGTGCATCAAATGAAAGTGAGAAACAGTAAATCTTTTTTGTGAATGCTTACTTTTATCAACATGGTACTACACAGATTTTTAACATTATTTAATTCTTTTTCGACTGTTGTAATGTTGCAGGCTTTATGCCTTGTCGGGCTGTCGTCACTAAAAAAAAAAATCAACAGCAAGCATTTAACATTGACGCAGCGATTTGAAAATAATTACAATATGTTATATATAAACTTTTGGCAAACAATTTTCTTTTAAAATATTTTTCCACCAAGGGGAGAGGCACAACGGAGCATGCCAGTCGGGTCTCCTCCAAGAACGACGGTCGCTTCCGCCATGCTTGGATAGAAAATGGCGTACCATTGCAATTCACACGGTTACCAGCGACCTCCGCGCTTCCCCGTTGTTCGGCAACACCATGAGTTGCAGAGTGAATCTTACTACAGTCTGAAATGCGGGACATTTTGAAGATTTGGGAATTTCTTGCGGGACGCGGGTCACAAGCCCTCAATGCGGGACAGTCCCGCGAGTCGCGGGACGGGTGGTCACCCTAATCTACATAGCAGTAAACTTTTCAAAATTAAACTGTGGCTGTTATACAAGAGTACCGTATTTGCACGAATATAACGCAGTCACGAATATAACGCAAGGGAAGATTTTGATCCCTTAAAAATAAAAGTATTATACAATTATAACGTGCACTGATCGAGGGCACCTAAAGCTACCGCATTCAAGAGCGTAACGGAAGTGAAAAGAGGCCAAGGGTCGACACACATGTTTTTATTCTACTCGTCGTCGCTGCTCCTTGTCACTGCCCATGAGCATCGCGTTGTCCTCGGTACCATCAATGTCGTTGGGGAGACAACACTTGAGGAATGCGTGTGCCACAATTGAGCGCAACATAGCCTCTCACACGTTTGCTATCCCCTGCATGACTTGCGAGATTGACGCGTCTCGTCGGCATGAGCTCCTTTTTGCGATGTCAAGCCACCGGGCGTCACCACCAGGTCGCTCTCGGCCTTCCTGATTGCATTTTTTGTCCGTTAAGTGACCCCTGCAGTCATCTAGCACAAGCATTGAAGGGATCTTCACCGCTGCACCTAGACGATTGTCCCACATGATGCAAAGCTAATCACGCATCGTTGCGTCGTCTATCCAGCCTTTCCCGTTGCACCCGATGTGCATGCACAGAGGGAAGGTCTCGTTCTTTGGAGTCGTCTTTCTCTCGAAAAGGAAAAGGGCGGCAGCTCGCGTCCGTCGGTCGTACATGCAAGCGTAGCCGTGACTCGAGTTTTCTCGTTGCCGTTGTATGCTGGCGCTACCGCAAACGTCCACGGCGTAATTCAACGGCACGTCCAGAAACATTGGTGTTTCGTCAGCATCGTCGATTTGGCTAATTATGTAGTCATGGTGCCTGCGCGAGACGATCATGTGGCGCCAAAATGCCATCAGCTTCCCTTCGTACTTAGATGTGAGCTTCTGGCAGATAGAGGTCCTCCGGTGAAGCAAGAACCGAGCGCGACGCATAAACTTTTGGACCCAGGAGCGACTGGCCTTAAAAGTGTTGCGAGAGAGACCGGCCTCTCGTGCTAGCTCCCTCACCTTGAGCCGAATAATCTCTGCGTTCACGGGCGTCAACCGTCTGCGACATTTGCGTGCAAACTCTCAGAGTTTCTCCTCGAGATTGGGTTAATGATCATGCTTTGGTCCGCGGAAGGCATTCCGGGTAGGCACCACATGGAAAACCTTTCACGGGTTGTGCGCCATCCTCGAATTGTCAACTTCCTCACTCCGAGAAGTTGTGCCATTTTCGAGTTCCGGATCGCTTCAAACAAGAAGATTCCCTCCTCCTTGAAAGCTGCGATGTACTGCGTCCTTTTATACATTTTGAAGTCAGTTGGTACATGAATGCGAGATGACTGTAGTGCGAAGAGTGAAATGTACTTCGGCACACGCAGAACAAAGAAGTTGGGGGTTCAGTGCGATACCGGCGAAACAAAAGTGATGAAACACAAAACTTCGATGTACAATTTGGGAGTGGTTGCCCCCACCGCCTTTGTTGGTTGTCCCTCGCCCTCATGCACCTATCCACGTACGTCACTCTGTCCCTCGCGCATTCTTCTTCTTGGCTTCTCTTAGTTTTTCCCATAGCTTGACGAAGGGCGTGCGCCCGAAACGTCACTTGTTTCCTTTCCCCGTCTTTTTGTATGTCTTATCTCTGACGCTGTAAGTTTTGTACCCACTTTTACGTGCCTCGCGCACCGTTGCCGTGTGTGCTCAATGCATTCTACGATCACCAGAGCCACGGAGATTCCTTTCTGCAATTGCATTTTCTCTCTTTCCCCTCTTCCTTTGACTCCTTCCATTCCATCGAAGGGATGGCCTTCCCCCTTGCTCAGGCGCCCGGTGGCAGTGCTTGATTCCGAATATAACGCGACGCGCATTTTGAGGCCCACTATTTTTAAAAATAACTCGCATTATATTTGTGCAAATATGGCATGTGTTGGGGCATAAATGCCCTGACAAACTGGCGTAATAATTTGTAATTATTTGTTTTTAAAATAGAGATTGAAGAAAGAATATTTGCATACAGTAGCAAGGTTTGTAAACCCACTCAATTAGGTATAGCTGAGCATCTCTCTAGGTTTCATTTTATGTCAAATCCATCATTTACTTGCCATCCCAAGGCAACAGACTTTCTGAGATCCCAGTTTATTAAAATAGTTACTCTAAACCACTTATTTTTCACGGGCTCAATACTTTGCGATTTAGGTCAAAGCTTAAGTTTTCGAATAATTTGTGGGTTCTAATTTTCGCAACGCGGTGGGATCTCTATATAGATTCGAATGTGTTTACATTTTACTGGAATTGCTTGTGGGACCTATTTTTGCGAATTGTAGGCAATTTGCGAAATCCGTGAAAATTATGTCCTTGCAAAGATTAAGTTGTTTACAGTAGTTCAAAATTAGCTTATAAATTAATGAGTGAAAGCTTGGAAACAACCATCATGAGCTTAGCTGGGTTTTCATTTAAGCTTGGTGCAACAGTAGTGAAAGGCTTGGAAAAACTATTCGATGTTCAATTAGAAAATATTTGGCCAAAACCACTACTTGTTTCGAATTTTCGCTTCAAATTCAAAAGCCACTATTCGCACATGACTACTCATACCCATTTTTACACTTGTGTTTTATATTTTTTGTTAAAATGCAACTTTAAAATTGGTTGCAATATCTTTGCCAGATGCAACGTTTTTCTGAATCTCCGTAAGTTTCTGCCTCTCTTGCTGTTACACTTGTGGTTGGGCTGTTGAATCGTCTCTACTACTGCATATCGCTAAATGTACTTCATCGTAAGCAAAAAATTTATGATACTATTTTTTTGCATGTCAAGCACTTTGCCGTGGCCTGTAATTCTGATAATCATGCTTTACAGCTCGCTCCTTTTTAATTGTTTTTTTTATTATTTTTATTTTACTTGGAGCTGGTAGCCTTTTAGGTAATAAAAGGTCTGGGAGACGCGGGCACAGGTAATTAAATTCGTTGTCGTCCATTTCTACCGCAGTCAACGGTGAATCTGTCCCACCTCTCATTCCTGAGCCGTTCGGCCTGTGACATGACGAAGAGCACCGAGAGCATCTGGGGAAGCGGGTAAGTACCCGTGCTTTGATTCCGCATTACTTATTTCATCGGGACACTTCAATAATTGCAGCCAGGCACCAGCTCATAAAAACCTCATATTGTTCGAAGCCACCGTGCAATGGTACTTTGGTGGCAGCGATACATGATGCACAGTGACTGCCAGTTGTAAGAATTGGCAGCTATTTCTTACTATTTGTGGGAAGTGGCTTCTGTCTGGTTCAGCAGGTAACTAACTCGCTCTTTAGGGGTTTGTTAACTTTTGAGGCTGCTGTTACAATAAAAAGTGCTCTGTTGTCTTCTCATGCAACAAGTGCGCACAATTACGGCTTAAAAAATTGTACAGGATTTCGTTCACCGCAAGAATAAACTGCGTCGCCGAACGCTCAGTCTCTGCCGAAGTGCAGCGCAAGTGGTTCGGACCAGATGCCAAAGTTCCAGAATTAACCTTTTTCTTACTCAAAAGTTATTAGCGATTTTTTTTATACTTTCAAGGGGAAACTGGGGCCTGTTTTCGGTAGCTGATGCCATAAATCTCCACGTATTCATGGGCCTTTTGTCAGCCGCCATTTTTTTATTAAAAATTTTAAGAAAATTGTTTATAACTTTTAAATAAGGTAACAGCAAGCTCTGAAACTTTAGCATTTGATCCTGACTGCCAGTGCTACATTTGCGTGGCGAGTGAGCATCCAGCAATACATATTTAAAGGTAAACATTTGACAGAGATCTGTCTGGTTGGGAGTAATTAATATTAAAAAATTCGAACACCAACCAAGCCGTTCTGTAGGGACCCAACGTTTCAAGGCCAATTCGGCCTCTTCTTCAGGGGCGACTACGGCTATGGCCGTTGAGGAGCAGCGTCCTTTTCTTTTTCTTCTACGCGGTGTGTGTCTGGCTCTGGTCTTCTTCTTTACGGCTCTGCCTTTTTCAATAATGTGACGAAGCCCATTCACATAGGCGGATGGTAAAGCCCCTAGAGATCTGTTGATGTTCTGTGGCGTTGTTTGAATGTGCCATGATTCTAGGAACAGTCTTTTTCGAGGATTTGTCTCAACGTCAACGATGCATGCGTTGTCGAAGTCAATGCGATGGTCCTTGACGTCGCAGTGCTCAGCGACCGCGCTACGCTCGTGATCGAACTTGCGCACGTCGTTTTTATGTTGACGGATTCTCTCCCTAAAGTTCTTCGTTTCGCCGATGTATGAGGCCGCGCAAACCCCGCACGGAATCTTATATACAACGCCTTGGGCCCTTTCTTTAGCAGGGCGATCTTTTGGGCGTGGCATGAGTCGTCCAAGGGTAGACACAGGTTTGTGCGCAAATTGGATACCCTCTTTCGCAAGCACACGGGCCAGTGCCTCGCTTGTTCCGTTGATGTAGGGAACCCTTGGACGACTCATGCCACGCCCAAAAGATCGCCCTGCTAAAGAAAGGGCCCAAGGCGTTGTATATAAGATTCCGTGCGGGGTTTGCGCGGCCTCATACATCGGCGAAACATAGAACTTTAGGGAGAGAATCCGTCAACATAAAAACGACGTGCGCAAGTTCGATCACGAGCGTAGCGCGGTCGCTGAGCACTGCGACGTCAAGGACCATCGCATTGACTTCGACAACGGATGCATCGTTGACGTTGAGACAAATCCTCGAAAAAGACTGTTCCTAGAATCATGGCACATTCAAACAACGCCACAGAACATCAACAGATCTCTAGGGGCTTTACCATCCGCCTATGTGAATGGGCTTCGTCACATTATTGAAAAAGGCAGAGCCGTAGAAGAAGAAGACCAGAGCCAGACACACGCCGCGTAGAAGAAAAAGAAAAGGACGCTGCTCCTCAACGGCCATAGCCGTAGTCGCCCCTGAAGAAGAGGCCGAATTGGCCTTGAAACCGTTGGGTCCCTACAGAAGGGCTTCGTTGGTGTTCAAATTTTTTAATAGCAATACATATGTATATCGCCGTTAAAGGTTAACTTAAGATATAAACCTAACCCCCCCACACACAAATTCTGACTAATAAAAAAAGCTTTTCTTTCATTTATATTTTTTTAGGTACTTATTTTTGAGATACTTTTTAGATACTTTTTTTTTTAATGTTTATTTTTGAAAAGGTCGACTTGTATGCAGCGATATGTGGTAGCTTACTTTTTTTTTAGGAAAAAACCGTGTTTTCTTTTCAATTGAGGTGTGAGGCTCTAAGCCGCATTTGATACTTTGGCTACGTGAGTAGACTCTCACTCGGGAAGCAGGAACTGTTCTTGGTATTAGACTCGGGCAGCAATGTTAAAGTGTTACTAACGGTATTCAAAAATGAAATCTGCCGTCAAGGGGTACGTTGAAACACCACTTCAGAAAAGTATTCATTATCAATGTCCTGCAATAGAATATCCTTTTAAAATGTATTGTACGTAACATAATGGGATTTTCTTAATCTAATGGGATTCTAAGTTTCTGGGTTCTGGAATGAGTCTTCGCCTGTCATTGAGGATCCTTGAGAAGACTAAAAATTTGTTTCAGGGATCTTTTGCAGCCCTTATTTCTGATGAAATGCTTTTATTGCACCTGAAAGTACAGTTGGACATAGTTGTGGTTATTAGAGGGTGTTTATAATTGCTGCAGGTTTGAGCCACAGGATGATGCTGGTGACAACAAGGCGGAGGATGCAAGGTATTTGGTCATCTCATATTATTTTACTCCCTGAGAAGCCTCACTTTTAAGGTTTGCTTCGAACAATGTCAATAGTAACTAAAATACAAATGTTTTTCGATAATTTAGGGTCGAAGGAAAGGAGATCCATTTAAACATGGCATTAAATTCCATTTCTTAGTTCCTGTAACATACACAGGTGGCATTACAGGGGACAACACTTAGTTGAACAAACTTGCAAACAGAATCGGGCTTGAAAAACTAAAAGGAAAAGCATGTGGCATGAAACACAATCAGTGTTGACATTCTGTACCACAAATAGAAATCAATGACAAGTGCTTTCAAAAGTCTTTGAGTTATCGGTCATGGTGTCACGTGGTATCATGACGTCACGTCACGGTATCCTACAACGAGGTTACATGATATGATGCAAGGTCATGTTATACCACGACTTGACACTCTAGAACAATCGCTTGTGCTAACTTGCCTTGCCAAAGGGTGTGCACGAACCGACAAACAAATTTGTGGGAGTAGTGCATTTCACTAAAGCATCTCGTGCTTTAAAACATCAAGAGCTTAGTCCAGAGCTGTACCAAAGCGGATCGGGTAAGAACCGTTCAGTTGTTGAGAGGTAAAACATTTCCAGCGAATAAGTTTATGCGGTGGAAAAGGTAGACCACAACAAATTTCTCGGACCCTGTCGTTAAGAGTGGCGAGAGTCCGTTTCTTCTTTCCCGCGCTGGCCCTTCCAAGTTTGGTGTGGGTTGTCGAATGCAGAAACCATTCCGAGCACGTTGCAAACCACGTGGGGGAGGAGACGAGCGCCCACTGGAGGAAGGAGCAGGAGAATGTGGAGAAGCAGCTGTGCATCAAGAGGGAGGAGCTAAGGCAGCTCAAGCAGGAGACCGAGACCCTCAAGAAGATGGCCGACGAGGTGGGGAGCACATTCGGTCGACCATCCGCCATTCTACTAGCAAACTTTAGCCGGGGGTGGGCAAGATGCCAATTTTATTCTTGAAGGCCTATTCACACACTTGTGTTTGCTTCGGACCGAGTCCTTGTGATCTCTTACGACGACAGAACACACTGGTACGCTGGTGCCATTTATGAGCTTACCCTGGATTTGTATTTCACTAGAGCAAAGGTCTTGCGGTATTTGCAATGTCAAATCTATGTGCTCTCTATGTGAAATGTTTCTTTTTTAACGGTGTTAGAAGTCTTTCGAGCCAAAAAAAGAATGTATGATGTGCAAAAAAAAAAGGGGAATTATGCGGAAATGCCAAGTGTTCCACGGCTGCCTGATAGATGACGCCAGTAAGCTCTCATCGTAAGAGGTTTTAAGGGGAGACACTGGCTAGAGGTTTAACTTCTGAACTGCTCAAGTGATTGGTAAGGAATTTGCAGGGGAGAGTTAACATCAGATGTAGGTGCACTGTGCAAACTTTCAGCTTTCTAGAGCAACTTTACATACCTGCATAAGAAGATCTTGTTACTCTTCGTTAAGAAATCTATGATATACACAAATGAAGCTATTAAGCACCATTTTTTTTTTTGCTTGAATATAAAGGGGGGGATGTGGGGCTTGGGGCTATCTAGTTTTTCAAACTCAAATATAAATATTTCAGAAAGAGTGGTTACCTTAAAATGGGGGGAGGGGGTGAGGTGCATATTTGTCCTATCTCAATTCATGAAAATATAGTTTTTTTTTCAATGAGCACTTCAACTTAACGCAAAATAAAGTACCTACCTAGATAGCCCGATTCCCGAGTAAATTTCAGTTCAGAAACATCTTGATTGTGGTATCAGAATACTTTTACCTTTGAACAAGAGATTCCTCTGTATGAAATTTGCAGCAAAAAGGGAAACTGCGAAAATTGCATTCAAACATTAAACTCCTTTACTTTGTTACTGTCTCACAGTGTGATGAAAATATTTTATATCAATGTAACTATTTGGCTTATGGTTATCAAATTTAGTGTAAGGGTGTATTTAGTTTCTAAAACCGAAAACCTTAAAATTGAAAAATTAAATTTAAAAAAAAAAAATTTGAAATTTAGGTTTATGTTCCTCTTTAAGGAATAAAGTCATAAAGTGACAATGAAGACACTTCCGAGTGTCTTCTAAAAAGGAGAAATTGTTACTTTCCTATGATGGGAGTAGCCCACCCAATTTTTTCCAGGATTCTGAGGCGGATGTCACATTTGCTCGAGTAATAGACGCACTGTTTGCGAACAAGGTCCGCACGTCTAATTGGGTGCGGCGAGTGCGTGCATACCGCCGACTGTTGCTTTCTGCTTCAAAAGAATCTAGCAAATAAGGATGTCGAGAAAATGAAAGTTCTTCTGATTTGTAATCTGTGTAGGTAGCGTCTTTGCGTTAGGACGTCATTCCTGTCCCAAAGGTCGCCGGGTCACGACAATTGGTATGACATGCTTCGCAGGAAAGTGTATTCACAGGCTTTGTTCATAACTGGCATGTATGTTACTTGAAGACTCGAGGTATCTTTCTCAATACAGCGCTTGAAGACTAAATTCATTTTCATAACAAGAAAAAAGAAAGTTTTGTGCCTGGTTCATACGCCGTGCGAAGTAGTTCTTACAAGATTTGGTTGTCGGAGGAAAGACCTGATGGTTTCAGTGTTTGAAACGTGTACATTGTGATAACATATCTAAATCTTAAATGCACATACATATATCTTAATTATCTACATAAAGGGAAAATTTAGTAATGCTTGGTGAGGGGCCGAATTTTTCTTTACTACGGTTCTTGAGGTGAAAACAGGTATAGTGGATGTCATCAATACTTCTGCTGAGAGTTCAAGAGAGATAGGAAAGAAATGAATGTCGCTTTTAATAGAGGTGGCATTTAGTGTCCAATAAATCTTCGGCGTTCCCTTCAGGGGGGCTGCTGAAGGCTGTCATGAAATAAGAATAAGCGGCACCTTATTATTTCCCGCTTGTCTTTGCTCCCATTTAATGCACGTGATATATGCTTGTCTTTGCTGAATATCGCTGCTTAAGAGCAGCTCACTTGTGTGTATGGTGGGTGAGGCAATAAAAACATGTCTTCCTTCAGGGAGACATGTTTTTATGTACTAGTAATGTCACTATACTACTAATTTGCAGCTGGATAACTTGTGACCATTGTCTCGTTAGCGAGCAGATTGTCTCTACACCAAACTTGGGTGAACCAAATGTGCAATATTTTCTATGTAACTATTTTCCTGCCTTGGCTCATAACGCACGGCTTAACTGACCTGTCTTTGCCCTGCCACTAACTTTAAAATATAAGCGTATGAGTGGGTAATTCGCTTCCGCGAGTGAGTTTCGGCCACGTAGCTTATTTTTACAATTCCTGAAAGTTAAACTTCTGCACGTCGATCACTATCAGTTGTTCTAACATAACGGGGATTATCTTTGCCATGTGTTTGTTTATTTCTTACATTGGGTTTTGCTAATATGCAGTATGTGTATGTAGTGTTTCCAGTGGATCAGAATAAGGCAGCAGAGCATGTTTGTTCACATTTTGAGGGAATTGTCGATGCATCTGTCAGGCTCACAAACGTGCAGAGGAGGAGCAAGCCAAATTGGAAACGGTCACGGAAGAACTACGCAGACATCTGGAGCAACAAGTCAGTCAGGAAAAGGTAAGGCCATAAGTGATTGTCCTTTCATATATTGTTTTACTCTCTTGGTAGGGCAAATTAGTTTAATTTGTTGGAGGACAAGTGATTGGTCTACTGATTGCTTTCTTGTTTTGTATAGTGGCTTGTCAAGCATACCTTTTAAAGCCATCTTTCTTCCTGTATGATTGGTCAGACAGGCAGGAAATTATCCATTTAACTCTTAGTTTTTCTGAAAACTCCCCAAAAATCTGATGTACGTAAGTTTCAAATGCCACATCTGAGCTTTTCAGCACACTTGGGTCTGAATAATTTGGCCGTCATGATTTTTATTGATACGGAATGCTCTGCCTGGTGCATACAAGCCATCCAAAGGTACTTGGATATTATTTTAAATGGGAACACTATTTAATACTTTGAGTGGGTATTTAAGTATATATTGTGTCAAGGCGGTTGGGAGATGATTACTTATTTCATTATGCGGATAAAAGCAACATAGCAAAATATCACCGGAATTAATAAACAAATGGTGGCAAACTAGATGGCAAAAAGGATGGAGGGATACGACTGAGTAAAACCTTTTATTGTTAGCAATGCTATCTTTAAATTTCTTACAATCTGTAAGATCTTGCCTAGGGGAGAATATAGTAGAGGTACAGTAGACTCTCATTAATTCAAACTTCAGGAAGCCACGTTTTTTGTTTGAATTATCAGAAGTTTGAATTATGAGAAATTCATCTAAATATGACACAAGATAAAATTATGATTTATCATAGGAGTGGCTACGCATACAAAGCAAGTACTCGATGAGTTCCTCTACATGGGCCTACTGATCATAAGCGGATATGCCACACAAGAAACGTTTGTGAAATGTGTGACATAAGTTTATTTATTGCTCGAAAATGTTTATTGTGAACTGTTTAGACAGCACATGAGAACTCAAAACAAAATAAAGTTTGTTCATCAGGCCAAAAATTTGTCTAATGTGAACTATTAAGAGGGGACACATGAGCAATGAAACCGGGCACCGCACGGCAGCTTTCATAGCAACTTGCACGGATGCAATGACATGGACCATCACAGCGTCTGCGCAAGTTGCTAGGAAAATTTCTGTGTGGTGCCAATTTTTATAGCTAAGGGTGCGCACTGCTTGAGCCCCCTTGAGTGTGCTTCTCACTGAGCACTGGTACATTGTGGAGAAGCAACACCTGCAGAAGCAAGCTTTGCAGGTGTTGTCTCTCTTCAGTGCACCGGTGCTGGGAAAGAAGCGCACCCCATGGGGCCGCAAGTACAAAAAGTATGCATTACATGAAAATGCTGTTCGCATTAAGTGGCTTAGGAACATATTAAAACCATAGCGGGACAACCAAAATTTTGAAATTTGTTTGAATTAACCAGTAGTATGAAATACCCTTGTTTGAATTAACAAACCTACTGTACTTGCTAGAATTTTTTTTTTTTTTTTTGCATGGGAACATGTGTGTTTTTGATTTGAAGGGCTGCTCTTTTTCTTGTTGGATTTTTTTTATTTTAGGGTTCTACATCAAGGATTATTCAGCTTCAGCAAGAACTACGCTACCTGACGGCAAAGGAACAGGAAGTTCGCGAGAATTTTGAACAACTCAAGAACAGACTTCAGCAGGTGCTCCTTTGCTACATCACTCTTTGGATGGAGCCCATCAATCTGATGGTGCTCATCACTGATGGAGTTAATTGCCCTGAAATATGATGCCCTCTTTAAAGATGTATAGCACAAAGAAAAACCACTGACAGAAAGATTGCACCAAAGCACTGACTCAAAGAAAGTTGAAAGACGAAATGTGTCAGTACTTTGTCCCTGTCATCATCAGGGAAAGTGACAAAACCGCTAGCAAGCAGGAATCATTGATGATAGTGAGGCATCTTGCATGAATCATCTAGTGTTGCATTTTTTATGTCTCAGAATCGATTTTTCTGGTATTTATGCTAGGTGTCATGTCAATAACCTTTAATTTAAGGTCAGCATTGTGGTGTGTTCTATCTGTCCGTGTTTTGTCTTTCACACAGTGCGTCTTTAGGTATGGGAGAAGCAAACATAGTACTTCTTGTGTTGTGATTCTTACTATAACTTTTCTTTGTTTTCTAGGAACGTGTATTTGTGCTGAGCAAGATGGAAACGGAGCAGTCTCGGCTCTACGACGAGATCAAGAGTCTCGAAATGAAGGAACTGGACCTGAAAGAGGCCATTGCTCTGCACCGCAATGAGCTGCTCAGGGTTGAGGAGGAAGTGAGCGCAAAAAAGGAAGAACTCTCCACTCAGGTCAGGCAGATTTTTTTTTTTTAGAGCGCAGCTCTTAGGTGTTTGTTTCCAGCTTGAGCGGCGTCGGCGTAACCGTGAGGTCACGTAACTTTCGTGAGGTCACATGACCCCGGTGACGTCACGTGACCTGACCCCCGTGAGGTCACGTGATCCCTTTGAGGTCACGTGATCCCCTTGAGGTCACGTGATCCCCTTGAGGTCACGTGATCCCCTTGAGGTCACGTGATCCCGCGAGGTCACGTGATCCCCGCGAGGTCACGTGATCCCCGCGAGGTCACGTGATCCCGCGAGGTCACGTGATCCCCGCGAGGTCACGTGACCCCCGCGAGGTCACGTGACCCCCGTGACGTCATGAAGGTCACATGACCTCACGGTTACACCGACGGCGACGCCGCTCGGAGAAAGGAGTAGTAGATAGGATGAGGAGGAGGGAGGAGGGGTATATGCTCCCCTCAGTACCCTTCCCTCCGCCTCCTCAAGAGCTGCGCTCTAATTCGGTGTTACAGGGGGTTGTAAGCGACTTTCATTTTTAGTAAAACATATAAAATAGCGCAACAGAAACAAGGACAAGAAGTAAACAGGACAGGCGCTAACCAAAACTCTGTAGTTTGCGCGGCTAGACGTCGAAAGGAACGAAAGTTGCCCTCAGCCACACAGTCAGTGTAATACGTGTAGCACAGGACACGCAACAGGTCATAGAAGAGCCGGACTTGGCGCCAGAGTTCAGACCTCAGTATCTTGGAAATCCGCTTGACGTGGCCGAAGGACGGTCTGACGAATCCAAAAAACATAGATACTTCCGCGGGTACCAGTCCTTTCCTCAAGCAAAACGAGATGAGTCTTGCACGACAAGTAGCAAAGGCGATATGGCTGACCAGACACGAAGCTGATTCACTAAACGTAGAACATAAAAAAGGGCCCACTGTAGAAGAAATATAGTTTAGTAAGGTACGTTGTTGGGCTAGTTGGTTCATCTTAGTAAAACATATAAAATAGCGCAACAGAAACAAGGACAAGAAGTAAAGAGGACAGGCGCTAACCAAAACTCTGTAGTTTGCGCGGCTAGACGTCGAAAGGAACGAAAGTTGCCCTCAGCCACACAGTCAGTGTAATACGTGTAGCACAGGACACGCAACAGGTCATAGAAGAGCCGGACTTGGCGCCAGAGCTCAGACCTCACTATCTTGGAAATCCGCTTGACGTGGCCGAAGGACGGTCTGACGAATCCAAAAAAAGAATCAAAAAAAAAAAAAGATGAACCAACTAGCCCAACAACGTACCTTACTAAACTATATTTCTTCTACAGTGGGCCCTTTTTTATGTTCTACGTTTAGTGAATCAGCTTCGTGTCTGGTCAGCCATATCGCCTTTGCTACTTGTCGTGCAAGACTCATCTCGTTTTGCTTGAGGAAAGGACTGGTACCCGCGGAAGTATCTATGTTTTTTGGATTCGTCAGACCGTCCTTCGGCCACGTCAAGCGGATTTCCAAGATACTGAGGTCTGAACTCTGGCGCCAAGTCCGGCTCTTCTATGACCTGTTGCGTGTCCTGTGCTACACGTATTACACTGACTGTGTGGCTGAGGGCAACTTTCGTTCCTTTCGACGTCTAGCCGCGCAAACTACAGAGTTTTGGTTAGCGCCTGTCCTGTTTACTTCTTGCCCTTGTTTCTGTTGCGCTATTTTATATGTTTTACTAAGATGAACCAACTAGCCCAACAACGTACCTTACTAAACTATATTTCATTTTTATGTTATCCTATTTGCTCATTTCTAATGCTCACCTTCTTTTAAAAAAAGATGTCACAAACAGCTTGTGTCTTATAATGGGATACAAAACCAAAATAGGGGACATGTTAGAATAATTATTCTTGGGTATAAAAACAGGGCGCACATTAGGATGGGGTCTGGGAATGCCTGAGAGGCATTTTTCATCTGTCCTAATTGAACCTGAGACTTGGTATGTTTGGGTTCTGCTGTAGGCTTAACACTTTTGGCCATAGAAGTTTTCATTGTCAAGAAAGAATAAAAGCTGACTCACTTGCACATGCAGTTTCCTTAAGTGCTTGTGATCGGAAGGAGTTAGAAAAAAAAAGGGTGTGAAAGCTGCAATTTTTGAGGAAGTATGGAATGTTGTCAAAAGCAACTGAGGGTCAAAATGGTGAAGAAAAATGACTGGAATCGACTTTACTGAGCCGAGCACATTTCTAATGCAATGTTTTAATATGAATCTTAAAGAGCTGCTAATAAAGTGCTTATGCATGCAGGTGAACATCGAGGCACAAAAATCAAGAAAATGACACATGAAACACCACTATAATGAGGCTCAACTAAATCATGCTGTAAGAGCCTCAGTAAAAAAGAAAATAATAATAACACAATTTTTAATTAGTTTGTCATAATTACACACGTAACGCAAAAACCAGATGGCCTTCTAATATTGCAGTGAATGTGCTAAAAACAGAAAATTCATGTTTTCCTAAAACCTTTGACATCTGTAAATAACTTCTCGTACAGAAAGTTCCTAGTTAAAAGGCCCGTCTCATGCTTCTTACGAGTACTGGCCTTTTTTTTAACTGTCATTTGTGGATCTGTGTGACCTTTAAGGCTTTTGTAAGCGAAGGGCAGTGCACCGCAGCAGAGTGAACTGAAGGACGCCATATTGTACCTACAAAATATGCTTCGTCATGCGTGTCGTTTTCCTTGCTTGTAAATGAAGGAATAGAAGAGAGACCATTAGTCAGATGGCCTCCAAAAATTGGTTTCAGAAGTGGGGTGGGTCTCATGCCAAAGGAGACACGGCAATTTTTCATGTCTGGGATATGTGTAAAGAAATTAATTTAAATAAAGATGCCTCTGAACTAAAAGATTGAAAAAAAATTAATTTTATTTTTGCTGATACCATGCTCTAAATTTCTGGAATTTGCATGAATTGCAGATAGTTTAAAAAAACACACAAAAATGAAAAACGGAACGGTTGTGTACCACACAAAGTTAGGTGGGTGCCTAATTACTTAATAATATGTCCTATCTTACACTAAAATACAAACATTGAAAGACGCCATTTTGGGTCCAAATATGAGCTCTAAATAGAGACTTTAGGAGATTTTTTTATTTTTTTAGTCAACTTGGATTTGAGTGTTAGCTGCAATATTTTTTTTTTATTTTTTCTCATAGGACTTATTGAATTGCATCTGTTAAATTTTCAAAGCCTCATTTTGTTGCATTTTAATTAAATGACAAATTCACCAGTTCACGCAGAAACGGCCATATTGAGAGCTACAAAAAGCAATATGGACAGTGGTGCCCAGAACTTTTAAAGTAGCCAAAAGTTCAAACCATCTCATCCGTTTAACATATAAAAATAATGAGAAAAGTACTTTTTTGTTGTTGCTTAGAAATTATTTTTCAAAGGTGAGCCTCTCCAACCATGTCTCCTGGTGCCCACCTCGTAGGCGACACACGCCGACGTTTGCTAGCGAGGTGTCAATGGTGCGAGACGCTGCAGCAAGGGCTTCAATGCTCTCTTGAGAACGCATTTTATTCAGTTACAGCGGACGTCATCCTTACTTCTATGCACTCGTATCCTCTTTGTGTTATGTAATGATACTGACGTCTTAATTTTGCCCTGCTTCTGCCCAGGTAATTGCCGACAAACGCAGGCCTGCATTGTTTGCTTCCCGAGTTTGGAAGTGCATACTGCGCTTTAGCCTTGTCTGTTGTATATCCAGATATAAAACCTATCCATACAGGATAGCTCTTCACCGCTGCCCTCGAGCCTGACCAATAAATCTGCCCCCGCTCAAAGGTAGCCTTTCCCTCAACCCACAGACGAGTCTCCTCCAAGGGGAGATCGACCTGCTGAGGGGGGAGCTGGACATCTCGGCCACGCAGGCGTCGGAAAACTGGCGCTCCCTGCTGTCGCTCATCTCGGGAGCACAGGCAGACCTCCCGTTGCCTCGGTGCACGGCACAGCTGGAGCGGATCGTGGAGAGCATCCGCCAGCAGCTGGCAGACAAGAAGCACGCCCAGCTGGCAGAAATCCACGACGAGCGGCAGAGCATCGCCGGCCAGATCGAGGCGCTCGGGGAGAAGCAGAAGCTGCTCAGGAGCTTCGCAGAGGAGTCGGAGGAGGCGCCCGCCGACAAGGTGCAGTGTTACGGCCGTCCGCAGCTGTGACTCTTAAAGACTCTCAAAGACTAGGCTCATTTCACTTCAAATGCGAGCGTCATAAAGGTGGGAAGCTTCTGGAGGCGACATGACGTCACCAAAGGTGATGCCAAAAGTGTGGAGGGGCACGCCCTCAACTGTGATCGAAACCAAGAGACGCTATCGAACGAAAAGGGGCCCTCGAAGGTGACCAAAACGATTGTTGGTGCCAAGTCGGTTCTCCTTTTCGTCCAATAGCATCTCTTGGTTTTGTCCATCGTTGGGGGTGTGTCCCTCTACACTTTTGGATTCACCTTTGATGGCATCATCACCTTTGATGGCATCACTTCTTACCTCTATGGCAAGCATAGTGCAAGCGACCAGAGCAAGCTCCGAGCTTTCAGAGTTTGCCGAGCACGCACGCTTGTGCTGTGCGAGCATTGTTTGAGGCAACGTGCTAGGGCCTGTAGCTTTGGCTTTGCTAGCGCTTAAAGTGAAACAAACTATTGACGGTTTTTATTAAATGTCTGAACCTACTTTCACGGCTTCATCTTTAGACTGCCAGGCACTGTAAATATCTGACTCGCCCAAGAAAGCTGGCGAGCGAACTTGCCGCCACAGCTTTCTGTTCTAGCTGCTAGGTGCCGTTGAGTTCGCAGAAGTCGCCCATAGTCGATTTTGAGGCCTGTTCACACATGCAGGGAGAGAGAGAGAGAGAGAGAACATGTATTTATTTAATGAAAGGTTCACTCGTCTATGGAAAGCGCTAGTTAAGTGAGAATTCAGTACTGAAGCCAGTGCTGACTTTAACATTGATGCAGCATTTGCTAATGCGGTGCTGATATAACAGGGGTGAGTGAGTTTAGTGGGGCTGTCTCGTGATGAGTAAATGAGTCAACACCATCGATGCTACCAGTCTTACATTTCTCTTATTTCTTTAAATGAAAGCAAAATAATCAAATTTGGGCATATTAGCAAATTTCCGGCCAATCATTGGAACGCCAATCACATAGTTTTTTTTTTGGTCATGCGCACGTTGCCAGTTGAAACGCTTCTTCCAAACACTCGGCGTTTGTTCTGTCTGCACTAACTTGGACACGAAGATAAATTCAACAGTCTTCGCGAGGCATACCTCAAAACTTTTTTGCACTAATCAAAATGTTTTAGATGGTTACATTTGCTGTTTTACGGTGGTAGCTGTTAGTGTCCCTTCCTGAAAAAAAAAAATGCTCATGTATGAATGCAAAACCCCACTTTAAAGCAGAGGCACTCCTCTCCCTCTCCCCCAGTTCCTCATGCACGGCAAGGCTCTCCCTCGTTCCCCCGTCCCTCCCCCCCCGTAGGCCGTCACTTTTCTCGCTTTAGCGACGCTCTCGCTTCCTCCCCCACCCACTTCACCCCTCCGGCTGCCGCTTCTGCGAAGTACCCACGTGGTCGCGCTGCGCGGGCACGCTCCCTCGCTTCCCCACTGCCACCACCCAGGTTCCGCTCTCGTGTACTCTGCGCACCTCTACAGGACGGCTCGCAACATACTTTTGTTTCTTCCATCTGAGGCGCAGTCACAGGCGCCCCTGTTCTAAAAAAAACATTTCAGCCAAAAGAAGCATGTGTCCATGTCCTTTTCAAACACACGCAAGATCTTGCACAATCGTTCCACCAAAGCACACATCTCCTCACACGCGAATCCTACATCAATTCCACTGAAAGCAAAGAACCCATTGCAAACATTGTACAGCAATGGCTGAAGGGAAATCTCTTTCAGCGAGCCTTTCCATAATACAGCAGCTACTGTCGCCAATCGCAGCGCACTTTGTGTGGTTGTTCGTTTTATTTATTGTTTACCTATTTGTGTTTTTATATTTTGTGCAGAATGTGTACGTTGTTCATATTTAAGAAAACTGTTAGTCACCAACTCTCACTGTTTATACAGGTATTGAAGAATAATAAACTGAAGCAAACAAATGTCTAAATCTGCCGCGCCGTAATCCCCCACTTGTCCTTGCGAAGGCGTCGGACAAGGAGTCTTGGGACAAGGACTCCTCGGACAAGGACTCTGAGGGGGAGGAGGTGAGCACTGTGGTGAAGGGGCGCCTGGCCTTTGTGGACGAGGAAGTGCGCAAGCTGCGGGAGGAGGAGAGCTCGCTTGGCCGCAAGGAGGAAGATGTGGAGGTGGGCTGGAGGCACAACCTGGACACACTGGACTCTCTGCTGCCCCTGCTCGAGTCCATGGTCGAGGACCTGGACAAGCTGGAAGGTGCGTCGGGTTGCGTGCCGATTCCCAAACATTTTTTTCCAGATTAGCGTGGTTCAAGCGTCGCCGAGCCACTCTCTGATATGTGGCTATGACCAGAAACGTTCCCACGGTTGTATCTTTTTTGTGAAATGTTGCTAAAGGGTCAATTATGTAATTTCCTCACTCCACTGAATACTGTTCATAATGAATCCTTAAAATGTATAGCCTATGCAATATGCATTCATTTTTTCTCTGTGCAGTAGTAGTCGCTGAAAATTTGAAAAAAAATAAGCTGTGTTCCAGTGTCGATTACATTCCGCCAAAGTTTATCATGGCCATGCGCGGGGGTTGGCAACGCGTGGGGCATGTACTGCTCCACGCGTCATCAGCCCCAGCGCGGTGGAGGGTGCCAAGGAGGATTCTCAGCCTGACGTAAAATCCTGAGCATGTGCCCATGTCACAATAAGGGCCCACCCGCTTTTTAAACATTTGAACACTAAGCTAACGACTTGTGAAGCACCCACCCTAGACTTCTGAGCCCACCATGCTAACTGAGGTGCTATCTCGTATCAGATGCTTCTCCTAGCACACCGATGCAAAGCTGTGAAGCTTGATGTGCTTGCGCCAATGTGATGCAGTGAAACATGACACTTGCACACGCTGGTGCATGGTTGTCAAGCTTGACGAGCATGCGCCAGTGCTATGCAACAAGCTTGACGCACGTGGATGAGTGCAAAGTGGTAAAGTCCACCCATCATGTGCCCTTTTCTGCATGTTATCACAGAATCTGTCTTATGGGTCGTTTCCTACGTGAAAATCATTATGAACGAACACTATGCTGGACGTGTTACACAGAAAAGAAAAGGTAAATAAATAAATAAAACATAAACATGAATTTTTTGTGTGGGGCACAATCTGTGCTCTCTAATCTTCATCAGCATGATCGAGCTTGTGTAATTTTTTTTGTCGGACCTAGCTAACATCTCAACCCCAGTTTTTCAAGGTTGCCTCCAAATGTTGAAATAGCCGACATTTTTGCGGTAGGTTCACGAGGAAATGTTGAAGGGAGCGGAGGTTTCTTGGCTGTTGTAGAGATACACACCAACCAGTCAGGCAAGCCACTGAAACAGTCGAAGAGAAGACATGTAAGGATTGCAGTTGAGACGCTATTAACGCAAATTGAAAACACCGATCATTCACCGTTACGGCATGGTGCAGGCTGCATCTTGGAAAAGGAGCAGGAGGTGGCGGAAGTGGAGTCCTCCATCCACCAGAGGGACTGCACGCTGAGGGATATGGCAAGTGAGGAGAAGGCGCTGGAGGAACAGCTGCGGAAGGTCGAGGAGCGCAAGGCGGACGCCGACGGGGAGCGCCAGGGGCTGCGGACGTCCCTCAACAGCCTCGACGACAAGGTGCTGCTCCTCAGCCAGCAGGAGAAAGACATCCTGGCCACCCTGGGCGAGCAGAGGCACAGGTGGGATCTTGAGCTTACTGTCAGCGAGTGTCAGTTTCGATTGCAAGGTTCAGTTGTACTTTCGTAACTCTAGCCTAAGTGGAGTCTTAAGATCAGTTCACACAGCACCGTCTGCTTACATTACATTATGTTATGGAAGCTTACATTTGCTTATGTTGGTGGAACATCCCTGCCGCATGTGAGGCAAGCAGTTCAAGAAGTAACCTTGCACACGATGTTCGAGGCACAGATGTTCCGGTGGGTGACTCGTAAAGTAAAAAAACAACCAAACATTCCTTTGTGAATGGGCCTTTAAAGGCTGGTTCACACAGCGCTGTTTTCTTAAGGCTGGTTCATATAGCTCTATTTTCTAACATTACATTGTGTTAGGAAAGCTTATCTACAAGTCACCGGGACATCTGTGATTTATGTTAAGTGTGGCTACCAGTTTAAAGAGAAAAACATGCAACGTTCGAGACACAAATGTTTCGGTGGCTTCTACATATTGTGAGAAATCAGAGCTGTGTGCACATTCACGCTTTGCATTCCGCGTCCCGGGCTACTCCTTCCACTGGTTGCAATGCTTTGTATGAAGCACGAATGTGCCGGTGACTCACGGCCGGATCTCGACGTAAGCATACGTAAGCTTTGTGACCTAAGGAAACAGTGCTGTGTGAACCAACCTTAAGGCCCATTCCCACAGTAGTGTTTTCTTTAGTTACTTAGGTTACATTATAAGACAGCGGAACATCCGTGCTTTGTATGTCAGCATGTCATGTGCAAAACTACCTGGCTGCCATGCTTCGTACAAGGCATGGATGTCTTGGTGATTCCTATTTATTGGAGGGAAGCCAAAGAGCTTCGATTGTTTGTGCTGTCCTTGATGTTCTGTTTTGCCGGTAGGAAACAAACATTAGGGCATCAAACTAGATCCCGAACTAAGTGGACACTATGTTCTATTAAGCAACGTAATGCTAGTCTATTCTAATCTGTCCCAACTTAAACTAACCAAAATTTAGACAAACCGAAACTAACCTCACTCTGACATTATTATGACCTAACCTAATGTTAGTCCTTGTTATCCTGACCTAATCTAGCCTCATAATTATTTCTTACAATGGCCCGTTCACACACTTGTCACATGTCAGGACTGTGTGCCTTAAAACCTCTTAAAATCTCTTACTGTGAAAGAACACACTGGCCCCACTTGTTGAGTGGAACACTTGGCGATCCCGTTTATTTATCATTCTTTTCACGCATCTCTCTTTCTCTTAGCTTGAAAAACTTTTGTCAATGTTATAGAAACCATTTCTCGTAGGAAGTACATACATTTGACCTCGCAAATGCCGCGAAACCTTCGCTCTAGTGAAATGCAGTTCCAGGGTCAGCGTGCCAGTGTATTCTCTCGTCGTAAGAGATTTTAAGAGGTCTTGAGACACTCGACCATAAGAAGTCGCGAGTGTGTGAACGGGCTTTAAGTCTTGTAACTTGACTCCAATTTAGATCAGCGAATCTAATCCTGAACTAATTTAGATGTAACTTTTTCTAGCCATTCTAGACCTCTCAAGTCCTCCATGCAAATCACATTTTATATAGCTTATTGAGGTAGTTATCTCAAATACCCTTAACTACTCTTACAACCTCTCTTCCATCTTAACTATAAGGGGTTTTTATCACGTTACAGTAAGCACCTATTGCTACTGAAAGTCTTCCATTTGCCTTTTTTAAATGAAGGTTGCTTTAGATTTGCACTATCGTTTTCAGGCTGCAGGAAGAACTTTCAACGCTTAGCAATGGCAACGACTTCCCCGACGTTCTGGAGGCGAACTGCAGCGGAGCCACGTCACCTTCCATACAGAACGACTCTTATGCGCTCTTCCGGCCCGACGACCTTGGGCCCCTAACCTCCTCTCCCATTGGGTCCAGCAAGTCTGAAAGACTCCACCATAGCAACTGGGTGAGTTGCTGCTAGATCTCGTGACATGCAAAGCATAGAACTAGCACTGTTGCAATATCTCATAAGGGGGGCTTTTCTTGCAGGGGTTTTCTTGTATTGGGAAGCTTCAGACCAGCATTGTTGGGCTGTTTTATGCTAGACTGCTAGAGCTTTTCTAGAGGTGGTTTTGCTTGCAGCTTTAGGCTAGTATTGTTGGGGTGTTCCTTGTGGTTTTCTTTTATAGGAATACTTTTAGGCTAGCATTTTTGTGTTGCTTCATGCTAGAGTCCTTCTTGTAGGTGCGCTTCTATAGCTAATTGGCTCAATCTTTATATCTTTATTTGAGTTGCGTCTTAGCTAGAAGGCAGCCTTGTATCAACTTCGGAAAGGGACGACTCCCTCCATACAATTTATAATTGTTGTGGGATTCGTCTGGAGCGTATACAGATGGTGTGTTTAAAAGGAAGAAGAATATGATGGTGTTATAAGATGTTTGCACAGTTTCTCTGACCTTAATCATTTGTTGGAAATACAAGGCTAAAACGTAGCATTGTATTAAAACTAGTGCTACCTAATAATCCTCTCCTGAGGACTCCTAGGTCAGCAAAGTCTACTGAGGCAACTATTGCTTTTTGTACAACCATTTGAACTTGTTTTTGTGGAACATGGAACTTCTTTTGTAACTGTAATTAAGCCCTGAGATAACTTCAACTTTTTCAGCATTTTGCTCTACTGTAAGAAACTTTATTTTCGCAGGCTTAATATTTTGCAAATGTTCCAAATATTTCGTAGCCAAAAAATTTTATGGTTAGAGGTGATGTGCTGGTATTCATTATCATGGATTGATGAGCTTGCATGGTTAGTATTTTCCAGTATTTTTTTTATACCTCGAAATTCACTAAAATTGGGTCCTCACTAAAATTGAACCATTCACAGTATTTACATTTGCCCAAATATTTCTCTTTGTTGCATTCACCACAACCAAGTGCCGAGAGATAAAGGCACACACGCCGTAACAATGGTGACCCTCAGAACGAAAGATACGTTTCTTACGAAATTGTGTCTTCTGTGTTTGCAGGATCTTCGAGGGCTTGAGGAGAAGTTCCTCGTGGTTGAAAAGGAGCTCGAAACGCGGCGAAAAGCGTTTGAGGCCGAGATGGACGAGGAAGGCAACGATGCCTACCTGGGACAACTCAAGGAGATGGAGATCAGACACCAGGAACAGTTGAGTGCATGCATAGACCCGTTTATGAGTTCACTGCCTGGTGCGATAGCATCTCTGAGCAAACTCTCCGCACTTTTCGTGTCCGTACGCGCGCTGCGACCAACGAAGTAGGTGGCACGCATCTGTTATATTGTCATGAAATGAAAGTAATGAACAAATGTAAAACTAGAAAAAAAAAATGATTAAAGAGAACTTGGTTTACAAACTGATAAACTAACATACAACACATGTTGCGTCGGTGACGGAAGGGCGACCGTCTCGAAGAAGCACATTACCACTGCTTTAATACTTGTTGTACGTTCAGGAACGTTCTAAACCAGAATGCACGATGACAGCCAAAATTAAACTACATTAAAAAAAAAAAAAAAAAAAAAGATTAATTGATAAAAAAGAACCAGGACAAGCAAGTTCGAACCAAGCAGGTTTGCGTGACATCCGCATGTGTTCTGAACTCTGCCACTCATGCGCAATAGACCTACTTTAATTGTGCATATGGGGTGTAATGCGTTTAACGAATGCGATACCATAATTAGCTTACAAATGCAAAGACAGATGCCAAGGGTCTTATTATGTTTGCATGCATATTATGTTTATATTTTATAAGAGAGAAACATTTGAATTGCAGAGAGGCTACAACAAAAGTCTATGAAAAATAGGCAGTTATGTCAGAAAATTGTGTAAATTGGTTCTATATGCAAGGGAAGACTTCATGGATGTCAACGAAAAGTGTTCCTAGTGTTTCCACAGTAGTTCCCAATCAGTTTATTAAATAGATGTTTACGCGGTACTAAAGGGTGCAAAATGCTCTCGCATTTCAACGATGTTAATCTGCGTGGTAAGTTGAGCAAAAAAGTTTTTGCCTGTCCTACAACGTTCTTCTCTCAAAAGAATTTTCTCTGTGTGCCGATGTTAGGTTGCTGGACCTGATAAAGAGAAAGGCCGACAAGCTGAAGAGGCAAAATGTGGGACTCCTTCATTCGTCGTACTTAAAGTAGGTGTCCCTCAATTCTCAGCTTTTCTGGGTGCTCTCACCCCTAGTAGCTAAGTTCTTTGGGCCAAAATTTAGTTTTTGTTAAAAAGCCCAAAGAAGCCAAAGAAGAGCCAGCTTGAACCCCTTTGGCCCGAATCTGATGATATTGGCCCTAATTTGCGAAGCAAGTGCCAGTTTATCTTCATTGCTGGTAGGTAGTTGCGGCTGACATCTAGCATCTTTGGGCCTGAGTCGCCAATCGAGTCGAGAAAGACACGACTAATTTTTAAGCCTCTTGCTACGGCATAGGACCTACTCTGCAGCAGCACACCCAGTGTTACACCGTTGCAAGAGGCTTAAAAACTGGTCTTGTCTCTCTCTGTCGTACTTGGTTGCAAATGTGAACAGCGGTTTAGGATTGCCAACCTTGTGGCAAGTTAGGTGTTTTTATGGCATGCTCCTCGAGACAATGCATTTTGAGCTGCCTGTCTGGAATTCTTCGACCGTAAGAGAGCACAACTCTCGTTTTGTTACGTCACTACCGTAAAGTCCCGCAAGAATGTTCACCCAAAATGGAGAGATAAATGTTGAAAAACATGTGTTGGTCTATTTTTGGGAATGCAACAGCAAAATTTTATCCAAAATTTGTGATAAACACCGGGGTGCCCACTATAAACCACGTGACACGGGAACTGGTATCGTGGACACGGCAAATTCGCGTTTCACGATGCAATATAGGTACATGCGCGAACAACTCTCCCGTCACGAGAACCAATATTGTGTGCATAGATCGCTGACAAAAACGAGAAAACCCGTCACACGTACCACTATCACAGATTGTGCGGTCGATGTGATTCCCGTTAATCTCCGCTTGATGTCCGACGGGAAACACATGCCCGACTGGAAGGGGGGGGGGGGGGGGGGGGATGTAATGTCATTTTTATGTTACGGATATTTAGCCAGAAAAACGGGATTTTACAGTCGTGTGAAACTGCTTGGATCTTTTGTATCTAATCTCGGGAAAAGAATAGGCTGTTGGGCAGGCTACGACAAGGACTCTGATAGAAGCTTATGTTCTGTTTTATTTGGCTGCAAATCAGTATCTGTGTCCCATTGTTCATTATCAATGGCATAGCTGTTTTTTGGTTTGCTTTTTGTGAGAAGATATTGAGAGATTATTTTCTAAGAGAGCTCGTATCCTTGCAAGATGAACAGAGCAGTGTGCAAAACTTTAGTAACCTGCTGAGTTTTGTGTCTACTTTTGATGCTTGGTGGCTTGTATTTTGAATAATATTTAGTTACTAACAAGCATCTTGAGAAATTTATTCTTCTCAGACAGTTTTTAATGAAGCCCTACGTAAGGTGCCAGTCATGTCGAGAGGGAGTTTTATTGTAATACTTACAAATTCGCTGTCAAAGCAGTCATATTCCATCAGAACTTCACCCGATTAAATAATACGACTGCTTTTCTTGTTTTGACCAGTGTCTAACCATATTTTTGAACACTGTTGCAGCAACTCGGTCAGTTCTGGCAGACATCAGCACATGACTTCCCGATCGCTGGTAGGTTTCTTTCAGTTGCTTGGCTTTTTTTTTCTTCAATCGTACATTACCGAGTGCTCATCAACCGATCCCTCGATCGCCCATTTCAGCCAATCCTCCCAACACATCCACACTTCGGCGTGGAACTTGGCACCGAGGAGTGCCCGATCCGCATCTCCATACCCTCGTACACGTTGAGGGGTAGTGGATCTAACGCACACATAGAGTATGAGGTGAAGGTGAGCACAAGTTTCACGAAGGACTTCGGCGATCGACGCTGTAGGAATTTTTCCGAGAAATTTCGGGTGCATGGCTACGATGGAAGTGTCGCATGGCGTAAAAGGGGACATTGTAATTCTCGGTAGCACTCTACAGCTATTCTACTTGAAGAGCTTGAACAAATAAAGGATAATGAATTTTGCGCAAGTTCTTTAGTCATGCTTGACGAAGTCGTTGTGCTATGTCGAAAACGGTTTTGGTTTGGCAAATCTCTGCGCAATCATTCATGCGCCGAGACCCATACTGCACCTTCCAACTAGAATGCCATTGGTTGTTGCTACGGTCGCACGATCGCTTATGCCAGCCAGTGGGAGTGAGGTGCAACCAGCGAGGGATCGTAGCTGCGACGGTGACACTATTGCAATGGGCACCAAGGTTCAAAATGCGTCAAATTAATGAATCTGCTAAATTTGGCGGGCAAGACCAAGAGATGTCGCCCACAACATTTAGCGGATGGTGGTCACATGACTACAGTTGCTACATGACATGGTCGAGCGACATTGATGACATCACTTTCATGTCGCTTTTTCGTGTCAGTCGCTTTTTTGCCTTTCCTTATAGCCAGCCTTGTAAGATATTTTGTGTTAAAACTCCAGATTTGCCTCAGAATGACATCTGACATTTTGCTTGCTATACGTGGCTTGCATTGACGTCACATCAGCTACCATTGTGTTGGCCTTGCTGCTGAGTGTATTTTTTACAGCATACTTTTCTCAACAAGAGCAAGTAGTTATGACAACAAGCATGATGTGAGGATGTCACGTGCGAGCCGTGTATTAAACTTAACCTTTTTTGTGGCCGAGTCTGTTGGCAAAATGTTGATTGCCCTGCCTGTTACTTCCCGCTGTATTTTCTTTTAGAATCCTACTTTGAGGCATGTTCAAAGTCGACATCTTAATTTGATATGGGATTCGAAGCCCACCTGATTGCAAGAGCAAGCGTAATCGAGAACATTATGCATAAAAAGTTTGCCTGACAAGAATCTGATGTCGACACGCAATAACTTTCAGGTTGTTGTCATGGACGACAGCTGGACGTTATACCGGAGGTACAAACGCTTCAGGGAACTGCATGACTACATGAAGCTCAAGTACAGAAACAAGGTAAGCTGACTGTGTGCATTGCTTGCAGTGCAATGATAGAATGGTTTCTAATCTAAAATGCTGTTTTCGCAATGGTTTTGCATTGTCGGCTGCTATCATTTTTTACTGATAGTTTTTACCTTGGTATATTAGTGTCAGGAGGCATTTAAGTAGATTTCTTTATTTTGTATTGGCAGTTTGGCAGTCAAACCAAATGTGTCCCATTACCTGAATCCAGGTCATGTAGTTAAAAAATTTGGATAAACTTTGTTTTTCCCTCGAAAATGGCAAATAATGGTTTCCCACATTTATGTTTTAACTGCCACACCTTACAGCGATTTTACAGTAAACAATTGATACTGGTTTGCACTCGCTTAACTTTCGCAGATTGAGAAGTAACACAAAATATTGATTGTGTGAATCTATTGCCAGGGCTTGAAAATTAAGAGTCAGTGTGTCCCAGGGAGCAAAATTTTGTTTTATGAAATATTTCACACTGGCACCATATTGATAGATTCTCTGTAATCTTCCAGAAATACTAAAACTGACAGTTTGTGTAAAAAGTCATTGGGGTTTCGTACCTGTGCTTTGTGATGTCCTTTGTGCAGCTTCTTAAGATCTTATTTTCATGTGTTTTCTTAAAGGTTTCCTTGCCCTATTTTCCGCCGAAAATACTCTTTGGAAATAAATCGCAAAGACTAGTGGAAGAGCGGCGAAGAATGCTGGAGGTGAGGCCTTGAATCCGTGTTTACACGTGTACCTCATATTTTTTTTTTTTCATTTTCTTTTGTGGTTAGGGTTATTAATACCGTAATATCCCAAGTCATCACCCACCCACCTGCCGCATGAAATTTATAAAATATTGGGGTGGGCCATGTCTTGGTGGACAAGCGCAAAAAGTTTAGAAAAAGTTGAAGAAACGCCCCTCAGTCAAACCCGCATATATCGAACTCTCAAAAAATTGTGAATTTGTTCGATATATCGTGTAATTCGATATAACAGTTTTAATTAATTTGACTCAAAAATCCACTTTTTGCTGACATATTACACAATGAAATAGTCTTGCATCTCTTGCTGCCTTTTCTTCTTTGCATCCTCTATAATGATATTTTTCTACGCTATCGACGGACCCCAAAATGCTGAGCCCGCTGCCTTCTTTATTCGCGCATTAGCGCCAACTATGACGAGAGCACGGAGCACGTCGGAGCTGGAGCACCTTTTCCTGTAGAGCGCCGTTTTGCTCTGCAAGTTGGCTTTCCCGTACGGCAGGTGGCCGCGTCACCTGCCATACGATACACGCAATGATTGGAAACAGCAAAACAGATCAGTTAAAAATCAGGTAGACATAGTCAACGCGGACAAGGCAAGATAAGAGTCACTTACGATCATGTAAGCGACGTTATCGCGTGCAGTCACTGAATTCTTGCATCATACCCCGGCCACATGTCAAAATGAATGTAATTTCGATCGAATGACATTATGGGGTCGACAAATCCGCTTGCGGCGCTCGTATAATCACTCAAGACCGCGAGCTGATTAAACCCTATATCACTGAATGAAAATATATTAACTTTTCCATGTGGCAGGGGTACTAAACGTACTACTTAGTCAACTAATTTACTTCTCCATATGGACTCAAGCTGCCTTAGAACAAAATATAACTTATTTTGTGTACAATAATAGTATTACCTTAATACAGTTCAGATTCTAGTATAAACGCGGTAAAGGCAATAAAACAACATTAGTAGAAATAAGCACAGAACCACAAACAATGCACTTTCAATAATCACACAAACTTGTTTTTCACCTTCCAGTGAAAACTAGATTACCGCGCATATTTACAAATGTCGACGCAACTGCACACGAATAACTACAAAGAACAAAATTCCAATCTATCACGCGATTAAAAAGCGATTGCAGCATTTTACTTGCGTCCTACATAACCAAGAAAGCCCGTAAATAAGTTGTTTCTCACTTGTCAATCGTATCCATACGTCCCACAATATCCGTGACGAAAACATTTGAACACAAACTCCAAGAAGCCTCTCTGTCGAGAGAGAGGTCTATCGATTAATCGACCAGAGTCATCGTTGGCTAGTTGTCACACGTCACTCAAACTGTAGCAGGACTTGTTTCACGAATCCACGTTAATGCCGTAGTATCAAGCAAACGCAAAAAAACTACCCGAGACTACGGTGATGACAGAAATACGACGGGAAACAAGTCTCAAAAGTACCACACACGAGAGCAGCGGCGACGAAAGGCTTAACGTCGACCCATCTGTTGCTCGTGTGCGCTCCCTGCGACAATGACTGGATTTTTTTTCGATTTCCTTCCCTTCGTAAATGTCTCAGTGTCCCTTTTCAGACAGTCAGCAGCTCACACACAACGTAAATTTACCAGAATCGGAGCCCGTATGAGGGAAGATGTCACTAATGTCGCATCGAAATGATCAGAGCCGGTTCATTCAAAAAGTGTAAGGAGCTGCGGGACAGCCTGTAGTCCCGCGGTTACGGGGATATTCTTAAATATAAATTTGCTACTCTCAACCTTGGTAACGCGTCGTATATTACGTTTATAATATATATATAATAAATTGTACAAGACTGCACCCCTAAAACATATATTAATGTCGGATAAACGCACACGAACACCACCGCGCCGCTTGACAAGAAACATTTTTTTCACGTTGATAGCATCGATAGCAGATATTTCCTCACATAGTTGAGCCATGTCCTTCCTTCCTCCGACATTGTGACGTAACCTCTCGGAGCGCTATGGCCTTCTTCTCTAGGATGTGTTGACGGAGCACCCGCTCCCTCCGCAAAAGAGATTTTTTTTTCTTCCAAACAATCAATGTGGCAATCGAGAAAAAAAAAAAATAAAAGCCAGCGTGCTTTGCATGCTGGTTTTTCTCCAATGCGGCCGCTCGCTTTGGGGAAAAGCCAGCTTGCAGAGAAAAACGGCGCTCTTGGCATTTCGATATATTGCCAGCGGCTGCTATTTTTGTTATATGTAACCATAGTTTTTGCTATATATTATCACTGCAATATTACTGTACACAAAAACTGTTCGATATTAGGAATAATTTTATGTAAACGGGTTCATTGTAGTCGGGTTTGACTGTACAGTTAAACCTGGATATAACAAAATTGATAAAAGTTTGCAATATTCGTTATTGGAGGATTTCATTACATGCAGTTTTCGCGGAAAAACTCATAAAGGACATGTGGAAAGAAAGCGAAAATTAAAAATCCACATGGGCAAACTCACCACGTCATTTATTTAGTGGAAAAGAAGTCTGTAAGCTTGCCTTGTGTCTTTCGTGCGAGCGAAGGCAGCACGCAGCACTCAAAGGACACCAAAGCGTTTAGAGCGCTGTCGTTGTCCTGGGAGCCGACGACCCGGCGTAATACATCGATGGCATCTAAGACCTCCCTCGCGATAGGCACCAAAGGCTGCTCTGCTCGCCTTTGGTGGCAATTGGACAAGAAGATATCTGCATTTTAGATACAGTCGCCGACCGATTATTCGGACTTCACAGGGAATGAAAAAACGTCCAAATGATAGAGCAGTCCGAAAAATCAGCCGATGGAAAAACTTGCCTCTATTACTTTCAAGTGGGCTTAAAAAAGCTGTGAATAGTGCCTTGTTTCAGGTTACGCCTCCGTTTCCGTTCGGCAACTTTCTGTTAGCTTGAGAATTGCTGCCTTCTTTTCTAGCGTTATGGTTGAGTATTTTCTGCGCTTCTTAATAACACATTGCGGCGGCAAAAGGACAGATGGGGCTATGACGTCCAAGCCAGCATTGTGCGAATGAGATAAGAGGCGCAAAACCACGAGTGCAAAATGGCGACTGGTGACGCGAAAAAACGCAAAAAGCAAAGTGATAATAATGATGATGATATGACAAGCAGCTAAATGAAAAAAAAAGGGCTAGCATAGCGTCACCTAGCGGTAGGACTCAGGAGTACTCAAGTAGCGCCAGTAGCGCTGCCAAACCAAGCCAATCCATTTGCAGCCAACATAGAATTCAAAATGGCCGCTTCTCGATGGTTTTTTCCGCTGATCGTTCGCAACGATTTTGTCCGAATAATTAAACTTTCGGACTTCAAGTTGTCCGAAACATTGGTCGTGAATATACGCTATTTCTATGGGGTAAGTCACGGTTCCGCCCTTAGATCCGAAATATGGAACAAATCCAAATGATCAAAGTAAAAAAAAAAAAAAGGAGATTGCGGTGGTGCGAGTTTGTCAAATCAAGGTTATCCAGCGCGAGCACTTCGTTACATGGAGTTCACAAATACAAGCGCTTCTATGAAAATCGCGTCGGGGAATTGAAGAAGTTTGTTAAATAGAGAATTTCGTTGTATACAGGTTCGTTACATCCAGGTTTAACTGTAGTTCAACTGCACAGGAGATACATTAAACTCTAAACTGGAATTAGTTTCAATGTTTCATGCAAGAAATATTTATGAAAGGCCGTTTTACTATCGCAAAGGCCATTGCTTGCATACGCGTGATGAACACTGTGGATCGGCATACAACGGAAATGTTTGTTTCGTGAGAGCGCATTTTTTCTTTCTCATCTTCATTAGTGAAAAAAAAATAGTCAGCAAGAAAATAGAAAAACCAACCAGGTGCAACGAGCGAGTGGGCGAAAGAGGCAAAGAAGAGCGACGCTGGGGGGGGGGAGGGAGGGAGGGGAGCGGAAAAGCCAGTGATCGAGTTGTGCAATACTTTGGTGTCAGGCCAAGTTGGGTGCCTTGTCAATCACAAGGACTCTCGTATTACTTTCTTGTTTGGTGCACACATGCGTGCGTCCGTGTGCGGCATGCTATCAACGCAGGTTGAGGCGGCGTTGCTGCGTGGCGTGGATGGCGCCACAAACACAGAACTCGAAATGGGACGCCTTACAAACATCTGCGTGGGCTGTTCCTGCAAATCTTTATTTACACATTGGCTTTGTCTCAAACATTGCACAACCTACCAACCACAGTCACAACGTGCCGGGAGAAGGAGCGGGTTTGTGGTGACCGTTGTATTTCGGCGGAGGCGGACTTTGACCTTACACTCCGCAGTTACACTCCGGGATATGAAACGTTCGCTGATCTTACAATCTCTGAATAGGTTACTGCTTTTAATATCTGTCCAACTTTTTTTATTGTCCGACCAAAGTTTTTTGGAAGCAAAACAAAATTTTATTTTGTTACCTCTATCGTTTTCTTTCTGCACGCATGTACTCAAACTTAGGGGTCGTGGAAATTGGGGAGGAAATGCGTAAACAACGGGAAATGTCTTTCCTCCCTTCGTTTTACTAGTCCTCCGACTATAAGGCCTGCGGCCACGTCATTTGGGTGGGATGAAAGTTTGCGGATTGTGGAGTCCGGCGTGGTTGTATTTCTAGGAGTGGGGCGATCACTCGTTGCTTATTTTGCAAATCGATATTCACCCAAAAAGTGGGGTCGGCGGTGACTTGGGGATGAGTGATGACTGGGGATATTACAGTAAGTAAGGACTAGATCAGTTTTAAATAGTTGAAAGTCAAGGGTTGGTTCGTAGTTCTAAAAAAATGAGCCTGTTCTGGATAAACCTTGTTTGCTTGTACTGTTTTAGTTTTTATTGGTAGACCCCTATAATGTGTTCAAAGAGCGAAACAAAACCTAGAACTGTACTTTTCGTAATGATTGAAATGATTGTACAAAGGTGAAAATGTGCATGTATTTGCTTGAAGCAAATCGTTTTAAGAGCAGCATAATTCTTCCTTTCAAATCAGTGCTGTGTAGCGAACAACAAAATTCTCAATGTTTACTCTGGATAAGGTTGACTTGATTATGTTTTAAAGTCCAGCACAATGCCTTAAAAAGTATGGGGTCATTATTCAACATCAATTGGCTTTTGCTTCACTTCAGTTTCAGTTAAAGTCGTTCAATAAACCATTGAATAAATATAATAGAACTGTTGTAGAAGATCATTCTGAGACGACAGATATTAAAACAGGAACTTTTGTATGCAATCCTTGAAGTTTTGGGGCTCCTGTGATGCTTTTGCATGCTTCAAACACCTTATTTAATAATGCTGCAATGTTTCTGAAGTTGATATGCACACCTCATTTATGGTATGGCAGATCAGTTCACATGATACTCTATTTTAGATGTTGGGCCATAGAGCAACGGACCATTGTTAAACACAAATATAATCTTTTCTGCATTCAGTTGATCTCAAAGTGTTTCAATTTACGGAAATTAAGGGCTCAGTATTATAAGTTATAGACGTTTCTGAACCCTTTATAAAATAAAGTTTTGAATTCAAAGGATTAAAATACATTTTTATTTGAAAGGTTTTTGGCAGTCTATAAAACTCCCAAAAATTTAAGAATGCCGAGTCTCAGTTGCTTGGACGGGATCTTCCAGGTGTACCTGATTGAACTGGTGAACGTCTGTCGACGGGACCTTACCTGCCCGTTGCACCGGTCGGTGCAAGGGCTGTGCAAGCAGCACATGTGGGAGTTTGCACCATTCTTCCGAAAGGGCTGCTTCGAGACCAGCAAGCACAGCACGGGATGATGCTGTCCGTTTTTACACACCTGCTTCCCATTGTTTGCGGTTGTTTTTTTATGCTGCTGCAGACAGCACAACTGTTTGTTGTCCCATCCCTCCCATGTTATTTTATGAGAGGGACCCGATGTATCATAATTCTATGCATGCATGCCTGAATGGAGACTGCATGTGGCTGAGGTGCAAAGGGAACGGGCTTAAAGGCCAACATACACCTCATGCTTTACACTTTTGCTTGCTTCCTTTTTCCTCTCACACCCTCTTCCTCCTTTGTCACTCGTCTTTCTAATATTTCTTTGGTCGGATGTAACTGGCAATCCTGATTCATTGTTTATAAGAACCTGAATTCAGGTTCACCCTTGGTCCAGCGTACGTTGAGAGTTGATCTGGATCCAGATTCATCTTTGATCCAGTTGAGATTCATGGTTGATATCAATCCTGATAGTACAGATCAACTTATGATGTGGAGTTTGTCTGGTCTAAGTTTATTTTTGACACAGGCTGAATTGAGAGTTGATTTGAATTCAGATTCATCTTTGATCCAGGCAAGATCCAGAGTTGATCTGGGTCTCAATACAGACCAACTTTTGACCTGGATCCACATGCACCTTTGGTGCAGGCTGGATCCAGATTTGATCTGAATCTAGATTTACTTTTGATCCAGACCAGATCCAGATTTGATCTGAATCCAGATTTACTTTTGATCCAGGCTAAGTCCTGAGCAGATCTAGATCTCATTGCAAATCAAATTTTGATTCAGAATCGGTGTAGACCCAATCCTCCTCTGATCCAGGCTAGACCCAGAATTTTCTTGGTCCCAATAGAGATCAACTTTGGATCCAGACTCTATTTGGTTTAGGGCTATCCTGATCAACTCTAGGTTCCCTCAAAGTTTAATTTATGTGTTCCTTTATTCTTTCTTTTGCCACCACCTTCACAGTTTTGGGAGAGGAGGCGGCCGGAATGGTCTTGCTTGCAAAAAAATTTAAGGTGTACATTGGCCTTTAAGTGCGGTGCTTTTTTTTTTATTCGTAGGCAGGGGTTGTATTTATGAAAGTTGTGCCTGAGAGAGTATCCCTCTGCAATGCATGAGGGTTGAATTTGCACACAGGGTTGATTACTGTTTTTTCAAGATCCAGTTTGCACTGGGATTGACGAGAACGCTGTTCAAGGGTTTTGTTCAAGACATCTAGTTATTCAAATGCTTGGCTTCCCATCAGATGGTGCCGGGCTTGTTACAGTTGACTGTTTTTCTCTGCCCGAGCTCGGTGTATTTTTGTTCTCAACATCTTCAACCCTTCCTTTTACCATGACAGTGTATTCTTGCTGGTCTGTTCGTTGAAAAATTGGGCAGAATCAGTCTAAACATCAGTACCAAATTTTGCACTCCATAAACATGTATGCAAAAGTGCTATTGTGATAAATAAGGCATCACTTGGGGATGTGTTCGTTATCCCTGTGGAGCACGCTTGCCGGTTATTGTGCTCAAATATTTGCAACAAAAACAAGTCGCTGTACATTTTCTGCAGAACGATCGCCTCAAAGCCCACCAGAAAAAGAAAAGGAAGCGCAGTTTTTAAGGTAGTTCTTAATATGACAAAAAATTTATTGAGCTCTGGGAAAACTTGTGCAAGACCTTGACAACGAAAATTTATTATTCATTTTTTGCTGTGCAACTTTTTTTTTATGGACTGTTCTTGAAGCTGAGCTGGCAGCAAAAGCAATGCAATGGACTTCATCACTGTGCGTAGCAATACTGGGTGTGCCTCTAGAAATGATGCATAGAACTTGATCATATCGGAACATGCGTGCCTTACGTCGGAAGGGTGCCCAGTAATGAAATAATTAATTTGAGCCTTAGGTAAGAGTGGGACGCTTCCTATGGAATTGTCTTGTTTTATTGCTTTGCTGGTATTTTAGTTGGCAGTTGTCACTGCGCACATGATGTGATCCTCATACTTCGCACAATCTTCGAGATTATATGTGTAAATGACAGCGCTCGAAGAGTGTGATAATTTAATAAGGCTTGGCCGCATCACGTACTCAATAGATCCCTTTCGAAAGAGTGCGCCATCTAACAGCTGCTGCGCTGTTTATCCGTATCTTCCATTGTTTGGGCTGACACAACTCTGAACGTATATTGGACACGAGGGTTTCATCAGCGTTCGGCGTGAACTCTCGTCCAGTCAAACGCTTCGTACCCAAAATATGGCAACTAAAATGTTGCTTGATGAAATTTTGAAAAGGGTCTGTTACAGTACCGAAAACCGCTCATTGTTTGGTGTTCTGCTTCGACACAATTGGTCAAGTTGAAGCGCCGATGGTTTTAGTATTTTTGTTCTTTGTTTCTTCAAGCGTGTACATATGGATGATAGAGATTAGACTTGCTCAAGTGTACTATAGAATTGCTCGTGGTTAGGTAACTTTTTTTTTTTTTACACGCACAGAGATTTGAGTTGGGGAGTGTTTAGCCAACCTCACATGATCTGAGTTATTTATCTTGACTGCATTTCACTCGACCGTTTCTTACTGAATGGTCAATAAATGTTTATTGTTTGCACATATGCAATTTTCTGTTTCAGTGAATGGGAGCCATTTGTTTGTTTATTTGATACCTGCACGGCCCAGTAAGCATTACAGTGGGACGTTTGCTAGAAATTATGAACGTATCGCACAGAACAGCACTAAACAAATAAAAAAAAACTATCGACAATAACAAGTAAAAAAAGAATTTCGGGGCTCATCTCTTCGCTTTAACAAGAAAAAACAGGTTGCAGTAAGACTCTGCAAGGATCCTTATTTGGTAGTAAAACGCTAGCAATCATTTTAAACGGAGTTAAACAATAACCAAAAACTAAATTAGAGGCGCTATCAAGCAGCTCCGGTGCAGCGTCAGACTTGGCTACTGCGCAACGGAGGCGCACAACTGGGCACGCGGCGGCGCCAGTGCTTCTGTCGCGGCTACGACGTCACTGGAATGCGAAGACAGACGAGGCGCGCGCGGCGGCGGCGGCTCCGGCGCGCCAGCTGTGCGCCGTGTGACGTCACTGCTCCTCGCGCATGCGCAGCACGGCACTCCAGGAGCCACGCGAAACTGCTCAACCTCGGCCAATGTAGCTCACGCTACAAAAACCACCTGGCGGATGCCTGGGAAGCTTTGATGGAATGTCGTGACGACATCGGATCGGTAAGAGAAGTGCCACAACGGAAGATGCTCTAGGGGTATCGCAAACTTTTGTCGAACTTCAATTTTGATGGCGGACCTCATGGTTCGACTGGTTCGCCGCACTTCGAACTTTCACTAAAGTTAGAAGTTCGACTTAGGGACAGTGTTGCCCGGCTTCTACACGAATATTTCTAATTTTGGGAAACGAATAATTTAGAAAGGATTTTTATATTTTATAAAATGGTTACCAATGTTTACACCATGTAAAAGCAAAAAGATGCCCTTTAATGCTTTCGTTAGTAATGTGAACCAGTGATGCCAATACACCCAACAATTATTGCACTTTTCCTCCGCCAAGTGGAATCAGCTTTTTTTTTCTTAATTTTCGCGCATACGCACAAAAGTTGAACTTCAGTCGAACCTTTGTCGAACATCACGTTGAAAGTTCGCAAAAGTCTTACTTGGTCGACCTCGAACGTGGGAAGGTTCGCGACATCCTTATATGCTCACTCTGAGATTATATAACAGCGGACTTGACCTCCATGGTTTCAGCTCTCGCCTCGACAATCTTGATGCTGTTCAGCGTGCGTTTTTCTTGGAACTGTTCCTTTCGCACCATTTTACGGCGAGATGCCGCGTCACTGCGGGCAGAGGGCGGTGGGAACAGAATTTTGCATTGTGAGACACCAGTACACAGGCTTCCGAATGACGAGAAGCTCTGTTTCCTGCGGAGTCATCTTGCGTGCCCGTCCGTGGTACGTGCCCCCGAAAAGTGATTGCTCATGAGGCGAGCACCTTCGGGATGAGGACTACGTCCGAAGCTTCAGTGAGCTGAAGAGTGTATTTGCCGAACAGATACAATCGGTTGAACCCAGGAGTTCACCTAGTGTCTTATAGCAAAGCTGTTTATGGCTAGGGTTCCTTGGATTTCTCGTGTGCGTCAACAAAAATGAAAGACGCTTACAACACGTTGTAATGCCGAATTAGAGCGGAGCTCTTGAGGAGGACGAGGGAAGGGTACGGAAAGGACGGTATGGCCCTCCTCCTCATCTCGTGCGCTTTCCTCCTCCCTTTTCATCTACTCCTCCCGTGCACCTCCCCCTCCTCCTCACTCGTCCTCCTCCCCTCCTACTCACTCTTCCTCTCCTACTCCCCATCCTCTCTCCTCCCCCTCCTGCTCCCTCCCGCGCGGTGCATTATGGGAAACGTCCCATAATGCAACGCGCGCGTCACCGCGGTGCATTATGGGACGTTTCCCATAATGCACCGCGCGGTCCAAGGCACCGCATGGTCGGGTACTTCTTGTTGGGGGGCAACTTCGCCGAAAAGTCCTCGAACAGCAAGTCTTACAAATTGGAGCGGAACATGTTGGGGCTCATTCTGCAGTTCCACATGAAGCCTTCATGTTGCCACCCGCAGAGTAACCAGCATGTCTGGAAACAATGGCCAGTAACGCTTCTTTCCACGAAGAATGAGCCTGCAGTAGCTTACAAACCTGCCAAGCAAATCAACGCTTCCCTTGTGCTCATTATATTGCTGGATTGACTTGGGCTGTTGCACTTGAATTCTCTTGCATTGTGTTAGACCGCAGCGGGTCGTGTTCACCATCGGATAAACACTGTCATAGTTGCAAAACACACATCTGTTGTCATTCCATTTGACGGCAAGCACTTCTCCGTCGCAGAACATGTCGAACTTCCCGCATACTTTTCTGCTGAGTAACTTGGTGCCATTCCAGCGGGCACTTTTTCCGTCTCGCCTCTTTAACAGTTCCTGTTGCTCGAAAGCGTTTCCCAAGGGTCATGCTAACGGATTCCTCAAACAACCACCAATGGATCTTCCTGTAATTTTTTTCACCCCCTTTTTTGTATTTTACCTCTTAGAGTACGTCGACGCCCTTGGATACGGTCATCCATATCACTCGTGGAAAGAACCACATCCATACCACTCGTGGAAAGAACCGCATTCATATCACTCGTGGAATGAACCGCATCCATCGTTTTAACTACACACGCACGCACACACACACACACACACACACACACAGACACACACACATCACAATCAACGCACCGCTACTACGGAAATCCAGAGCGAAGAACAACCGGCGGCAACTGAGCACGCCCGCATTCCACCGCGCCGCGGCGCAATACCTCCTAGATAACAAAGCCGTGGTGCTGAATGAGGTGGCGTCATCAGAGAAGGTCAACGCCGGGCACAGATTGGACACGACGATTGCGTCAACATTTGGCTCTAACGTGACTCGAAGCCGAGCGCTGACGCAGCACTCGTCTCCAATCGGTGTCCAGTGTCAGCCTTCTCTGATTAAGCCATCTTATTCAACACTACTGCTTTGTTATCTAGGAGGTGTTGCGCGGCGCCTCCTCCACTCTGGCTCCGGGCCAGCTGTGCACGTGACTTTGCCGAAAACGAAAGGGCTCGTTTTGACGAAAACCCGGCGGTGTCTGTCAGTTTGTCAGCGCCGGGGAGAGAGGGAGAGGTTGACGCGTGCTCACGTCAGCGCTTCGGACCGATGTAAACGTCGCACGCGGCAACTGACAAACGAAAGACACCGCCGGGTTTCCATCAAAACGAGCTTTCTAGTGCTAACGCATTAAAAAAAAAAAAGTCCAGCTTCTCGCGGAACTTTACTAATTTCGCGTTTCATGTATTGAATTTAGATACCTGTAGGTGCATTTGAAATTAGCTTTACGCTATTTTATCAAAACGGTTCAGATTCCAAAAGCACGGTTTCTTCCCTCGACAAGCAAATCTTGCAAAAACTGCTTCGAGTAACAAATAAAAAGAAACTCATTATTATTTTATTTATTTTTTTGATGGGTAGAATATAGAGCTGAGTTTCAAGCGCAAAGGCAGCGCGCAAAGCAAGGGAATCGATGTAAGTTGTAACACATGAGCGACGAAAATGGGCGCCGCGCGGCAGTTTCCATGGCGACTTGCGCATACGCTGTGACGTGGCAGCTTGGCATAGGTTCACGTCACAGCGTCCTGGGCTGTTGCTATGGGAGTCACCGCGCGGCGCCCCGTTTTGTCGCTCATGTGTTCCCTGCATTAGAGGCGCACTTCGGCGGGTTAGTTCCGGTTTGTAGCTGTGTACTATAATATTTCTCGTCGCGTTGAGGTCACAACGAATTTTAAAGCGGTAGCTTTCTACGTCGGTCAAACCGGAACCGCTAAAAAAACCTAAAAAAATATCTAACCGGTGCCAAGGATTGAATCCTTGTAGCCGGCGTGGAAGCCGAGTGCGCTGCTGACTGAGCTACGGAGCCAGCACGCAGGAACGGGAGGAGCAGAGGCAGGTGATGTGAGAAAGCACGCAGAGCAGAGGGGAGTGAAAAGGGCAAGAAAGAGAGGAGCAGAAACAGGTGGTGTTGAAGGAGCGTGCGGAACGAGTAGAATTGCAGGGAAGCGCGCTTCCCCTTTCTTGGTGGGTCAGAAATTTCAGCGCAAAAGCTTTGTATCCGTGTGGTGCTGAACGGAAGAGCGCGCAGCGTCACAAAGAGGCAACGGTGTGACGTAATTGTTTCCGCACAAAACCCTGCCTTAGGCACCACCTGAACTAAGAGCACCACCCACCCCAGGCACTGAAAGACGAAGGGTAACCCTGCCCTAAGCACCACCCACCCCGCAAAGCTGCCGGATTTAAACGCGTTTGGCAGAATGACCAAACATGAAACCATTTCACGTCACGGCTTCCAGCGTGAATTCTGCCACTGTGCATTATGGCCTCCCAAAATGAATATTTTGAAAGTTAGTCGAGAACGTTTTAGTTAATTAGCTAATTAATTAACCGATTTTGTTTCTGTTCGAGTCACCCCCAACTTAGCCCCAGGGCTAAAAAAAATCCTAAGGCAAATTTCCTTTTTTTAAAAAATTCTGGTCCCCCTAAACTGGTGGACTCAATGGAGCGAAAAAAGCGACAAATTTCGCCCTGCGCGTCCGCTCTGCGCATTGCGTCAGTAGAGTGGCTGTTGCGCGGCTTGCAAAGCAAACATGCCGCCGGGCGAAGTTCGTCGATTCTTCGCCGCATATTCGCTCCACGGCGCAAGTTCTTAGTGATAAACTTTCAAGCCTGGGATTGGGTCATGCGAATACTCGAAACCTTCGAATATTGAAGCAAATAATGTCGTATTCGATTCGAAGTTCGAATCGAATAGGGCTATGCGGCAACTTCAAATATTCTCGAAAAATTTCGAAGTTTGAATTGCTGCAAAACGTGCCTTGAATGAGAAAAAAAAATGAAAGCCGCTTACAACTCCCTGTAACGCCGAATTAGAGCGCAGCTCTTGAGGAGGAGGAGGGAAGGGCACTGGGGGGGGGGGGTTAAACTAACCAGGGGGGGGTCACGTTACCTTGGGGGTCACGTGACCCCCAATG